GTCTCATGATTTCACACATTTTTAAGGTTTTACAAAAACGGATACAACTCCTTCACCTCTCAGCTTTGGATTACTTACATTCTTTTAAAGAACTATCAAGTTTTCCACTTTCGTATTTTTAATCAACCAATTCAATCAAGTAAATGTTTCCTTAATTCAATAATTGGAAATATCTCAATGATATACTGTAAATAAATCACAATGTTCTGGTGCTTTAATGGTTTTCTCCACTTTTACTGCGCAGTAGCTCTAGAGCTTGCACTGGTTGTTTATTAAAAGTAAATAAAGCTGCCTTGCCTCACTGATGCAGTGCCCAATCTGCAAATTTGTCCTAACTATGCATTCAACGATGTTAGCAGTGCAGAAATTGGGTAAATACCAAAGAAAATCTTTGTTAGAGAACAGAACAAGATGCCTGAAGACAACAGTAAAGCTGCACTTTCCAGAGTCACAGTATGCCCCTTAAACCAAAGCGCCATCTAAGGTAAATAAATATGCTTAAGGCTGAGGCACAGAGAGAAAGTGGAGCTGACAACGTAATAAAGCGAGCTAAAAGACAATAATTTCTTATATTTCTTATATTTTGCAGAGAGTCCACCACTCTGCAGAATAAGTTTTGGATGCTTCAGACAGTGAGGACAGACAGCAAAGAAAGGAAAGTAAAACAGCACACAGCAGACGTCCGTTTGAATCCACATGCAGTGGCAGTGTTTCATTGATTTTAATGGGACAGTGTGATGTGGAAACATGACAGGAGACACGGGGGAGATAACCCAAGCAGCACTGCTATAAGCTATTCCCAGCAGTGTGCATTAACCCACTCGGCAATCACGCCACCAGAAGTTTTCTCAATGTTTTTCATCATCATCGAGAGGGAGAGAGGAGGAAAAAAGGCACTCGTTCCTCTCTAAGCTCTGTGAGTCTGAAGCAGAGTTTGTCTGAGAGATGGAAATAGATCATGAAATACAGAAACTGAAATGATTTCCCAGTCACACAGCCACTTAAATCTAGGCAGAGCACTCAGAGGCAAGCGAAAAAGTCAAACAGACTGAAGCAAAGGGGATGCTGCACGGTGATAGCATAATTCACGCTATATAGACATCTAAGATCAGCTCCAGAGTTGTTGAGCTTTAACAAGGGGTGGTGGGGGGTAAAATGCCGATCTCCTTCATTTTCCCAGAAGGTATCTAGTTAACTGGGAAGGAGCATATTTTTAACGAAGTGAAGACACCACCCACATCCATCCTGTCAAATCAGCCCCAGAGACTACAGTGGGAGTTGTGTTTGCATTTCTGAGGTGGCTGACACTGGCAAAAGTTGTGGCAGAAAGTGATTTAAACTGTTCTTTAAACTGTGACACTAAAATACCACCAGCCTCCAGTGAGTCCCCCGTTACTGGAGCTCTGTGATATCTTGTGTTGCTTTTGCTGTCGAACCATCCTGCAGGCTGAATGAATGAAACATGCATGTCCAGTCTGCCTCTTTTGGCAACGCGCGCACACACACACACACACACACACACACACACACACACACACACACACACACACACACACACACTGAATCTTAACATGTATAGCAACATCTAGTGGCCCTAATTTGCCGTTACATTGTCCGAATGGATGGGGAGCGTTGTTCTTTTGGGTAGTTTCTTTATTCAGTGAGCATTTGCTGCATGTAACTCTTTACAACAAGTTTAGACCGGCTTTATGAGCAAAGTAATGCAAAGATATTGGTGCAAAGCTGCTCCTTTTTCTGTGATGTGATGTAGATAATTAGGAGTCTATTTAGAGAAAGGGCCAGCCTTGGAAAGACTCAGGAGATCCTCACTTCATTAAAAATCAATTATGACAACACACGTGCCCGTGCCAGACAGCCCTCGTGGCCACAATCATCTACACAGCTCTCACGTTACTATCTTTGCCTTGTTCTTTGTGAATCTCATCTCCAGTTGGTGCTATCTTTTTCTCTCTCAAGAGACTGTGCATGCCTGATCCTCCTCTTAGCTAAGGAATCGCCAGCGTTGCAGTCCTGCTCTTACATAATAACCTCAGGGTAACACTCATCCTCCTGCTGGCTGAGGATGCTGTCAGTCATTACGCTCTGACTGGGTCGACTCAGGTCGGCAGAAAAGTCCCACCCAACACCGTAAAAGACACGTCGCTTGAGGGGAAAGGGAATTGAGCAGCTCTTTCCACTTGTGTTTGCTTTGAAAACGGATCCCATCGAGAGGGGAAAAGCTGCATTAGGCATCATTGACTTAAGCTGTCTATTAATTGGAATCTGCTTTCAAATGCAAAACCTTGAAGTCAAATATTCAAAATGATCATCAACCCATAACACATGATCTAGATTATTCTAAACACCTCATATAATCCACCTCTGCAGTTGAAGTTCAGCTTCGTGGAAGTGGGAGTCGTTTCGTAAACATTTCACAAAGCCTCGGCCACTAAGAGGGAGAGGACGACAGTGCGATTGAGTGGCTTTACACGCTGATGACATCACTTCCTTTAGGAGTGTGACAGCTTAGCACATCATTGCTGTGACAGCCAGACGAGTGCAGCGAGTGGGTGGTCACCCTGGCAACAGCAATGCTGTCATGACTGTCTCTTTATATCCTACCTGACAGTCGCCACAGGCAATGAGCACAACACACACACACACACACACACACACACACATTCGACAATGCACACACCCACACACACATATTCACTTACAGTTTGTCAAACTCGCATGGACATATACGTTATCTTTCCTTGTCTTTTGCTAAATGCTCACTCTGAAACACACGCATCAACAATACTCATGCCCACATGCTGATGATCCTTTGGGCATAATTATACGATACAAAGAGGAATATAATCTGCCAGGGGGTAAAAAATAAATAAACAGAGAACATATGATGGAAATAGCTAAGGAGAAACAGTGAAGACACGCTGTGAAAATATGTAAAGAGCTTCTTCTGACAATCAGAATTTATATAAACTATGTCTTTCCAAATCACACAGCAGCAGCTCCAGATTAACATTTCTTTCAGAGTCTAAATAAAAGTGTTAAAATTGCAAGTTACCACTAAGAGAAAGAGGGCTGTTGGTGCCGACGAAAAGGCTGATTAAAAATGTGGCTCCTTCATTTAGCTTCCTTTTGCTGCTCACATGTGGTGTGTTGCTACCATCCGTTTCTGACCCGTTTACAGACTATTAATAGTTTGTTTCAGGCCGCGTTCATTGACAGCTCTGTGTGTGGAGTTTGTGCAACATCCAAGTCCTGTCCAGCGCTCTGCTCTGACCCACTTTAGAGCTAGTTGGCTGAAGAACTGGTGGAAATGGGTCACATCACTAGAACTTTGAATGTTGTTAGCACAAATTCAAAAAGCAGCAAGACACAACACCCTATCTTTTGGGCCAATACATCAGTTGTAGAATGTAATTTGACAAAAGATTATTGGTGCAGATTAAAACAAAAATTTGCTCTTATGATAAACGTAAAGTAAAATTAAGAGAGCTTTTATTTTGAAAGGTTTAACAGATGCATAGGAGCAAAAGAGTCAATAAATGAGGGATATAGAATAACATAATTCAAATGGCTACCAGTAACTAAAATCTGTTTTAGAGTAAATTTGAAAATAAACAAAATATATGCTAAAAAAAACGTTCTTGCGGCTTGACATTTTTTATACTTTGAAATCCTGAAAGGTTTGTTAGTTTTCTGACTGAAATTTCAACATAGTGCAAATATTTGTAATAATTGTCCACCTGATTGAGAGCACACCTCTGGTTATTGTGAGCGACCGAGTTAAGAGAGAGAGCGAGAGAGAGTAGCTCTGGTGTGTAGCTGCTCAGCTGCATGACAAACAGAACCATCTCTATTGATCCTCATAGGAGATGATCCAATTATGCATATTGCACACTCATTCCACCACATGTTTATATCACCTATAAATACATATACAACACAGTCAAACAAGACAGTGTTGATGCATGCATATGAGCAAAAACATGCAACATAATTCTTAGAAAATATTGCGTATGAAAGGGAAATCGATCATGAAATACGTGGTTCTGTGTACTGGACCCGATTCTAACCTTACCGATGTAGAATTTCCCGCAGGTGGAGTCTCTGCGAGCGAATAACATGTGAGCAACAGCTTCAGATACAGCGTAATACAGCGCTCAGCAGAAGAGGGAACCTGCTCGTCGGGAAATAATTTAGGATTAGTTAGGCTGTCTAATCTCTTTATAGAGACTGTGCCATCTCAGCAGCATACCTGCCTACCTCTACATTCATGTGCATCTATCTCCTAACAGGAACCGAGGATTTCTCTTTTCGTTTATTATGGATAACATGCTCAAAGACACACAAGAGGATGGTTTCTGTGTATTGAAATAGTTTCTGGTTATGTTCAGTGCATTTCGGTGACTGTACATGGAGCTGACTGTGCACAGTGAGTAAAATATGATAAAAGTTGTGAAATTAATGCAAATGTAGATTAGAAAGAGCTGAAAACTGGCTTTTTGTCAGCCAGAAAACTTGACGTGTGTTTGTGTGAACTCAGAAAAGGTGAGCCTGAAGGAGAAGAGGGAAAAAAAATAAAAAGAGTGGTCCTTCAGTGATGTAACTAGCCTTCTCATTATGGACACCCTTTTAACCTGCAGGGGTCTCTGCCTCTAGCAAAACACAAGAGTGCACACACACACAGTCTAGTCATTTACTTGTGTGTGTGTGCATGTAAGGTGTGCACTTATGCAGCTCTAAGTGTCCCAGTTAAAAGAACACTCTTGCAAAGACACAATAAATGTCTTCATGTCACCATGCCCTTGTGACTTTGAAGTTGCTCAAATAGTGTCCTCGGACACATTCAGGTCCTTCTGCCGACCAGGTTATCTGCTCTAAATTAGACCGCCAGCTGGGGTCTCACATGAAGCAGAGCAAGGGTCTGTGTCGAGTCCAAAATGTCATTTTCAACACAAATCTTTGTCTTTCTGTGTTTGTTCCAGCCCAAATCGAAGTTATACCATGCAAAATCTGCGGAGACAAATCATCAGGTATCCACTATGGAGTCATTACATGTGAGGGCTGTAAGGTAAGACTTTATGCATTGTTAGGAATATTTGAGACAGTCAGATAGGCATCTGAGACCTGTATTTTGTTGTTGACATCCAACCAGGGTTTCTTCAGACGGAGTCAGCAGAACAATGCCTCATACTCCTGCCCCCGCCAGAGGAACTGCCTCATCGACAGAACAAATCGCAACCGCTGCCAACATTGCCGCTTGCAGAAATGCCTCGCCCTAGGAATGTCCAGAGACGGTGAGGCCCAGTTTCTGTTAGGTCACATTTCTTAAAAGTGTAAACAGATGTATGTATATCATCTTGTGACTTAAATTGTTCTGAAAAAAAAAAACACATTTTGAACCCTTTGTTTTGTTTTCTGCCCAAACAGCGGTTAAGTTTGGCCGCATGTCCAAAAAGCAGCGAGACAGTTTATACGCCGAGGTCCAGAAGCACCAGGCGCGCCTGCAGGAGCAAAGACAGCAGCAAACTGGTGAAGCTGAAGCCCTGGCTCGTGTGTACTCATCCAGCCTAACCAATGGACTGTCCACCCTCAACCATGAAATTGGGGGCACCTACGCCAATGGTCACATCATAGAGCTGCCCAAAGGTGGCCATGGGAATGGAGGCGGAGTCCCAGGGGGTTACTATGGGATGGATTCCACTCAGCCATCTCCAGACCAGTCAGGTTTGGACATGTCAGGCATGAAGCACATTAAGCAGGAACCAGTTTATGACCTGACGCCAGTACCCAACCTGTTCAGCTATGGAGGCTACCAGGACAGCCAGTTCGGACCCAGTAATGTCAGCATGGGAGAGCTGGGTAAATTTTACTTTTACTTTATAAGTGGCATTGATACAGTAGAATGGTTCATATGAAAAGTCACCCATGTGGAAAATTAACTATTAACCATAAAGTAGTGCTGGAAAAAAGTGTGAGTCAGAATCCTAATCTGAAAGCGCAACAGGAGATCCGACAGGCTTACATGGCTAGCTGACAATGTGTCATATTACTGTGTGCACACCTTCAGCAGATAGCAAAGATTTAGTTAGAATTAAATGCTTCACACATGTTGAGTTAAATGGGAAAATGGCAGGAATAAAGAAACACATTCAAATGTATCTTTAGAGATTAAACCTGTAGTATAACACTGCAGCATCTCATGGTGTCCAAAAAATAAAAGAATAAATGAGTATTTCTGCCTTCCAGACCGTATTGCTCAGAATATCATCAAGTCACACTTGGAAACATGTCAGTACACAACAGAGGAGCTACAGCAGCTAGCCTGGCAGACACATTCGTATGAGGAGGTGAAGATGTACCAGAGCAAGGTGAGGCTTCAGGTTACATCATCGTCCTCATACAGGGAAGGTGACATTATTTTTACAAGCCACTTTTTCTCATCCGATCTTTTTGATTTTATTATAAAATTGAATCATCAAATATTCCTAATTTTAAACATCACTTAAATTACAGCTTAATGGCTGATACGTACTAACCTTCTTCCCGATCTTGGTCTGTTTGGCTGCAGCCCCGGGATGTGCTGTGGCAGCAGTGTGCCATCCAGATCACCCATGCCATCCAGTATGTGGTCGAGTTCGCCAAGCGCATCTCAGGGTTTATGGAACTGTGCCAGAACGATCAGATCCTCCTCCTCAAATCAGGTGAGGCGTTGAACCAGTCACCATCACAAGCGCTTCCATGTTTTTGGAACGCCAGCCTAGCTGAGAACACACTTTGAGATGTCGTAATGGTTCTTTCAGGTTGTTTGGAGGTAGTCCTGGTGCGGATGTGCAGGGCGTTCAACCCTCTCAACAACACTGTGCTGTTTGAGGGAAAGTACGGAGGCATGCAGATGTTCAAAGCTCTGGGTAAGGCACTGAAATGCACCAATTTTAAATATGTTTTTACCTAGATGGTATTAGCCCTTTTTAACCCAAGCTTGTTAATTAAAGTTTCTTTTTTCTGCTTTTCATGTTTTAAAGGTTGTGATGACTTAGTGAATGCAGTGTTTGACTTTGCCAAGAGTTTGTGTTCACTGCAGCTGACGGAGGAGGAGATTGCACTGTTCTCGGCAGCGGTATTAATTTCCACAGGTCCGTGTCTATGAGCATCGCTTTTTTAAAATTCATCAGTAATGATTCATGTCATTTATTTTTTTATAGTTTTACATTTGTTTTTTATGTTGCTTTGAAAACCAAACAAAAGATTTTCAAGTTCTGCACTATGAGCTATCAGCGCTAAAAGGGTCAACACTCGTCTCTCCTCAGATCGACCCTGGCTCATGGAGCCTCGGAAAGTCCAAAAGCTCCAGGAGAAGATCTACTTTGCTCTGCAGCACATTATGCAGAAGAATCACATGGATGAAGATGCACTGGCTAAGGTAGGCTGCCTAAAATCAACCAAAGTGAGAACAGATGTGAAAACAGTGAAATATATGCCTTGCTGGTGTAACTTCTCTGGCCTTGACCATTTCTTCTTCTGTTCTGGCAGCTGATCAGCCGAATCCCAACGTTGTCGGCCCTGTGCACACTCCATACTGAGGAGCTTCAAGCCTTCCAGCAGCTCCACCCTGAAACCGTCAACGTCCTCTTCCCTCCGCTCTACAAAGAACTCTTTAACCCCGACCCAAACTCTGCAATGGCCATGCCCAAATGACTGCCTGTAGTCCAAATGGAACCAACAACAACAGAGGAGGACAAACAAAAGGCAATTGCTTCTTCTGACCAGACGACAGCGGCCATGTCGCCTGTGTCACCGTAGCAACCACTTATTTCTGAGCTCCCTCAGGCTCATTTCAGACTGGTGGGTGAGGATTCATCTACTAGAGACTTAACATTACTGCCAACAACACTAGGAATGTCCTGCACTTATCCCATCCTGTTCACCGATACAGTCTGAAGAATGTATATATAAATGGAGCGTGCCCCCCCAACCTCCCGCTCACGCCCACCACCACCTTAGAGGGGCTTCCACATGTCTCCTGAACTGACTGACCAGAAATGTACAGACTCTTTAAAAAATCTAACAATTTTAAGCTGTTAAATCTTTTTTATTGGTGGGAAAGTTCATTTGATTCAACACTGAGGGGAAAAAAAAGATTTTGTTCCCTTTTTTCCACATGAAAACAACGTGACAATGAAGAAGCTGGACAGGTGATGGACGTGTGGCTTTATAGAAGTAATTGTAGATATTCTAGTGGAGAACGGATTCCAGTATTATTTCTTGTTCGGTTAAAATAAGTTAGTCCTAATTTAAATATAAAGCCGTCTGCTGCAGCGGGCTATACCTTGTCTATGTGTTCCTATTTTATTTGATAGTTTCTTGTGTACAGATTTTGTAAAGTTGCATCTTGTAAAAGAAAACTAGGCAAGAGATGGGTGCCGAGATGGGTGCCGATTTGGGGTTGCTGAAATACAGAAGCCTTGTCTGGATTTTGTTCATATGTATTGAAGGTGTTTCATCCTTCTGATCAAAAATTATAGAATTGTAAAGAGAACCTATGAAGGATTTAAAAAAATGCTACTACTTTTCAAGCTGAAGATATATACATAAATATTCTAGTTTGCAAAAGAGAAAATAACCTGGCATATTTGCCTTCCTATCAATCATTTATTTCACGTTGCAATAATTCTGTCCAGTAATACCCGAAATGCTTTTGAACAATCAGCGAGGAGGAGGAAACCAGGACCTCATGATGAACCCCACACCTCACCCGAAAGTCCCCTCACTTTGTTTTGATCTCTAATGATTCATGATTTTTTTTTTTTTTTTCATTTTGGCAGAAAAGTGGTTAGCAAACATGTATGAATAATCCATTAGGGTAGGGATATTCACGTCCAGGCCTGAAGGGCCAGTTTCCACCATGTTTTAGTTTTAACTCATCTGATTTCAATCAGCAGGTAATCAAGAGGCTTCTGCAGAGCCTGATGAGCTGCTGCACAGGTGATTCAACCACTTAATCTAGTGTGTTGGAGCAGAGAAACCACAAAAACATGCTGGATAATAGCCCTTGAATACCCCTGCATTAGGGCAAAATAATTAAATTCAGATCTTTCTAATCTGCATTCGTGCAGAATGCCATTGCTGTCCTGTCTGCATACTTTAGTCTACGGGTGTCCGACACTCCGGGCTGTAAATGTGTGGGACGCTTTAGCGAGCAATAGCTTTACTTCCCCCCTTCCCACTCCATGTCCCCTTCTCTCAGCTCAAAACAGGGTAGAAGTTTTAAGGATGCACTAAATTATGCACCTGATCACTGACAATGCCACAGCCTGATCAGGACATAACAGCACTAAATGAAAATGTGAAGACCTAATCATAGAAATGATACAGAAAGCTGATTTAGACAATCACTTTTACACTCTGTCCTTCTATATTTTTGTTTAGCACTTGTTTTTTTTTTTTTTTTTTTTTTTTTTTTGTCTTGTGGTTGGGCACTGTGTAAAAAGTCTGTCTGGGTTATAATGTATGTTTATTCCATCAAAGCAAATGGTTGGTTTTTTCTTGTAAAGAACCCTTTAGAAAATCGCCGAGGATGTTTTTGTGAGAAGCAATAAGAAACCTCTGTTTAAAAGATGCAAAAAGTTAATTAGCTGGTGGCTCTTTTATTGTCTGTTTTTTTTTTTCGATTTGTGTTGAAAATTTATTTTTTTTAAATTTCAGACTCTGGTACTTTTATTTAGCATAGAAAAATGGAAACATCTCCAGGTTTATTGTGTGGATGTCTTCTGTTTTTACACAGTGGCCAAATCTACAGACAAAAATTCACCCATTGACACTAAAAACACTGAGAACATTAACAAAGTTAATGCACTTTTTTCAGTTATAACCAGCTTACAAATCACGGGGCAGTTTGTGTAGCATCCATCCAGTCCATGCTGTAGCACAGAGCCATTTACCGGCTCCTCTAAAGTCTCCTTTGACCCCTGACCTGACAACACGTCAGAGGCCGGTGACTCTTAGACAATCACTCTCACACAAAGACTTGATGCACTACTCAGCATCTCTCAGGGAGCAGCTCTTCTCAATTTTCATTAAAAAGAGGGTTTAATATTTTTGAAATTTTACTAAACAAAATATGAATTAATAAATAACTTTTTAGGTTTTAAAAATGGCAAATGCTGCCTATGCATGCCAGCAAAGGAATCTGCCCAGGCAAGGCTTTGATAGAAATGTGTGCAAGTGTGTGAGTGTGTGCGTGTAGAGCATGAATTCACTGTCCACATCTCTGTAGAGAAGTGCATTGTTACACAGTAAAAGGAAAACATGAATGTTTGGGGTTTACAGCTAAGTTTCCTGCTCTCTGGACTGAAAGTCCACTCGTCACCTGGGACAGTGAGTTTTATCTCCGATTATGAAATATTTGTATGTGATATTTTTGTTTTCCCTCAGACTGTGAATCAAAAGGTGCAGAACCGGGTTGTGAGGGGGGATGGGGGTGTGCTGGCAACTAATACTGTAAGTAAGAAACTGTAGCAATAAGAACTGGAGGCATTTACTACTGTCATGTTTGCATTGTAAGATTATTTTTTAATTTTATTACTATTTACTATTATTGTTCTTATTATGACTACTATTCTTCTATTACTATTATTAGCCTGTTGTTGTTCTGTTCTATTTGCATGACGTTTCATTGCAATGAAACATTCGGGGCTCATTTGTGTTTCTTTCTCATGATTATGTGAGTTTAGTGGGAGTGGTGTTTGAAAGGGCGAGTTTAGGAGAAATCCCACGTCACTTCATTCAGATCAAACTTTTCACAAACTGAAACTTTTCTTTTTTTAAATAAAATGCTCTAATTTATACAGAACTGATTCAATCGGATCAACTGTTTTGTCACCCTCTGAATGTGTGATTTGTCAGTGAACGACCCTTTTCTGAGCTGGCCTTACTGAACCAGATTGGACACCCTTTGCCTGCTGTTCATAAGGGGTGTGGGGGTGATGCTGGGAGGGTAATCTGTTCTGAATGTTATGGAGTAGTCTGTTCATGCGCCTTCTTCTACTCCATCAACACAGGATGACATCACAGTGCACACATTAGTCATTAGGATAAATTGTGCCGTACTTTTAATGCAGCTGATATGGGACATTTCACACACACGACTTCCTCCTCCTCCTCCCTTTTGTAAGAAAACGTGTGCGATCATGAGCGTGTGTGTGCGAGAGACAATGAAACAGTGAAAAGATGTTTGCTCTACCAATGCTTTGTAAACTTTCTTGATGCATTATGTGTGTGCAATTTGAGCAGTTTTGAGATAAAAAATGTTAACTTATTTTTTAAAGTGTTTTTGCGTCCCAAAAAGAGCAAATAAAAAATGTCCAAAACCTAAAAAGGTACTTAGGCTTCAGAGCCTCTTTCACACAATGATACATTTCAATAAAACACAAAAAATATTTTGTTCATTTTCAAAGTGCCATAGTTAGTGAGGAGAACATGGGGTTGGCAGTGAGGGGCGTAGACGCTTTACTGTGTACGTTTACATGAGAAACCAATCAAAAAAGGGGAACTGAAAGGAAAATGTGTATTTGATTACACTGGTTAACTGTTTTCATGCTTTCTTTTCCATTTGGTGGAAACTCTGCTGGACTCAGAACTCTGCTGTAGAGTTTGAGTTTTCCCACGAGGAGGAAAACATTAAAGCACACATGAATTTGTATTAAAGGGAGTAAAAGTACCCAGAACTGAAGGATCAAACTGGGCGTTGGTTCAGAACCGTGCAGCAAGTCCTTATTTGAGATGTAAATACAATGTGAAGGTCTGAAGTGATTTTTTTTTGTTCAATTCTATATTTTATCGCTTTTGTAGACATTTTGTTGTGGGAAGGAAAAAACTAAAATAAAATAAATTTTATGGGTGCATTTCTGCCTCGTTTTGTCACACACACACACACACACACACACACACACACACACACACACACACACACACACACACACACACACACACACACACACACACACGCACAGATTGTTTAATGAAAATGAAACATTGTCATATTTAAACTGAGCAACAAAAACTTCTAATGAAACAAATATATATATATATATATATATATATATATATATATATATATATATAATTATACTTCTTAGGAGTTTTAAAACATCACAGCTGTCCTATCAAAAATTGTATATTTTTACAAAAAATAATTTATTTGCCACTTGAGAAAAATGTCAGATATCACCCCCATAACGCTTTGTTTACACTGCAAACAAATAAGGAATGCTAGAATCGTTTCAAAACAGAAACTAGGTGTGCTAAATCCCCCCTACATCTTCGGTCAAAGGTGCCATCCCGGTTTAATCTCCATCTCGTTCTTCTTGTTCCGATAACGGCTCGTCCTCGCTGCTGCTCTCAAAGCTGCCCGGGCGCTCCCTTAAATCTGAACAACAGAAACATCAGTTAGCGACGTGTCACTCCAATAACACAGTCATTATCACAAGAAAGAGAATAGAGGCAGGCCTGGGAGGAAGTCCATGCATCCAGCATGAATAATTTGGTTTGATTTGTTAGAGGAATGTTGGAGAGGACACAAGGAAAGGAAGCTAAATCACAACGCACCTTTGAAATATCAAAACAACTGTGTCTGAATGTTTTTGCGTGTGTGTGTTTGTTTGCCGAGGCTTGTTTGTTTTTGAGCACAGTTTCTTTCCGAGCTGCTATCCTCTAGACGCCGGTATCGTGTCTATCCAGAGACATTAATTAATAGCTAATCAAAGCTAATGTCTCAGCAGCACATTGCCAGCACAAAGACATGATTAATATGTAATCAAAGGCCGCGCAGCACAACGCACAAAGCAGGGCCCACCCCCATGCCTCCAACACTACTGTTGTTATCGGAATAAACGAAGACTCGTTGCTTAATTAGCTGGCTGTTGGTGTGTGCCGTCTTCATTTGAAGTTGTCGGGGATTTCTCTCAGAGCCAAGTTGGCCTCCTGAGTGACGACACTTAGGTGACATACAAATACGTGCATATGCACATGTGCACAAGCCTCGGTAATCCATTAAACACACACTCAATTAGACAAAGATGGCTCCTAAAGCCTTTAGATAACTAACACTGGTGACAGAGTCTCTCTTTCAATGGTTTGATGGTTTTCTGACCTTTTAGGCCCAGTCTGTGGCAGCAGAGGTTGCAGGAGTGTTTCTGCACGAAACCTTTGATAGCAGCATCCCCCAGGTTATCAGGACCAAAAACCATCTCACCCCTGCTTCCGCTGCAAGAAAGTCAGAAACAACATGACTGGAAAGCTGTTTTATCTGTCTTCAGTACGTACCAGGAACTGTCAATAAATAAAAACACAAAATAGAAGTCAGTTTTTAAAAATATGGGTAAATTTTCATTGTACCTTTGGTCGTCTGCTGTAATGACTGTTGGATCCGTCAGCTCCTCTCCTACTCCTGTTGAAAAGCGAATCAATAATTAAAAGAGGAAGAAGACAACTCTACTGACACAAATGTAGCACAAATGGTAAATAGATTTGCCTTGCATATCAAGCACCATCAGCTCTTTGCACGAGTACTCATAGGTCCAGTGGGAGAATGCAAGCAGCAAGTCCTCCAGTGAACAGCAGGGGGTGATCTCCTCTCCTGTGTTGTTATTGTACTTCCTGAAGTCTCCTGTCAAGTTTCTCTCTATAGTCAGCCACTGACCATTAGAATGCCAGAGAACCAGCGACACATCCAGAAATCTGGTGGAGAAAACACAGTCAGCTACACATAAGGCACACATGGGAGAAAACACACACACACACACACACACACACACACACACACACACACACACACACACACACACACACACACACACACACACCTTGGTGAGTGGTGCAGATCATCAGGTTTGATCTGGTTAAAAACTTGCATCATCTTCTGTGCTGCTCTCTGCTGCTGGATCTCCTTTAAAAAGACAAAACCGTTCATCATAGAGTCAAGGCTATAAAATCTTACAGATTGAAGAAACTTAAAAAAGACTATTTTCTAAAATAGTGTAGAATGCAGTAATTATCAGAAGTCAGTATCTACCATGCAGCTGGCAGCAGTGAGAGTGGGATTAGTTTGGAGAATATCATGGGGAGCAACAGAGGAGCTAATTTCCACTTTCTAAAAGAACTCAAACTCTAAAAGAACTAAACACCGTTATTAGGTAAGACAGGAGGACATCTGTCCACGTCACCCTAAAGGTGGAACTTTTGATTAGAGGAATTAGCAACCTGGAGAATCTGCTGATTAAAGAGCAGTATGCAGAATTTCCACTAGAATAGACACACATTTATGGGGAAATAAGGACTGAAATGTTGTTTTATGATGTAATCAAGCTAAACATTCATTTCTCGGACTCTAAGAAAGGTATGAGTATTTTTAAAGACTGACCCTTAAACAAAGCTGCAGCGCAGCGCTGCCGTGAAAGTACTTCTGCCAAGCACGAACCACCTCTGGTTTAAAGGCCTTAACTATATATACCACCCCGGGCTTTAGCACGTCCTGTTCTGCCCAGGTGCAGAGCATCCTGCAGCCCTGCCGGATGCCCCCGTCTAGAGAACCCTCCTCACTGGGAAGGGGCTGCAGCATGGCGGAGTAACCTCGGGAAGACCAGGACGCGACGGATCTGGATTCAGGGTCAGCGGAGACAGAAGGTGCTTCCTCTAAAGAATAAACGCTCACTTCTTCACCTCCTGAGGGGCAACAAAGACAAACTCAGTAAATTGTGTAAACAAAATAAAAATTGACTGAAGAAAACTAATTTAAATGAAATTAGAGTAAGAATGTTACCAAACACAGAAACAGGAGGGAAGGGAATGGTATGAGCCAGTCTCATCAGATTGTTTCTCTCCATGGCTTAAAGGACAAATATAAAAATATATCAAAACGACAGAAATATGTTATAATATATATTTTCCTTTATGACAATACCTGAAAAGTGGGGGTAAAAGTTGTCCGTGGACTGGAACGAGGAGCTCTTGGCTGCAGCAACAAAGATTATAGTATTAAAAACTTCAACTTCAGACATAAATGCATGAAGTCACCTTAAAGGACACATGTTGAATGTTACCTTCAGGTACAGCACAGCTCTGTAGGCTGAAAAAGGAGACAGAAGTAATTATTACATTTTAGCATCTGTGTACATTAATGTTGACTATAGAACAACATAGTACTTACGAGGACCTGCGGCTCATGGATTTGGCCCAGCTGTTCCAGGCAGAATGAGTGGGGCTCCAAATATCCTGAGAATCGATTTAACAATAATAAAATAAACAGCAATAAAATAGAAACCTTTTTATTAATTTTGTCTACAGAATTGAGCAAAATTCTACCTGATGAGAAAACATCTGTTTTGGTATCAAATCTGTGGGATCAAAATCTGAAAAGAATTTGATAAAACAGAAAGTAATCTTTATGGTGTTGCTATACGCAAATGTAAAAACACTTAAAAGACAACCTTAATCTAAACTGAAGTTCTTACTGAGCTGACTGAGGCTGGTTGAAGCTGACCAGCATGTAGGTTCTCCAATAAACCTCTGGCGTTTCCTCCATGACATGGCTGTCTGTTTCCCACAGAAGTGCAGATTAATAAAATTAATAAATAAAAATGTTCATGCTCATTGAGAAATTCTCTCTTTTTGTCACAACTGATTAAATTTATTTGACTTTACTGTATCTGGAGTGCTCTCCATTATTTTCACCATCTTCCTGTTGTGGATTTTTCCTTTGCTTTCCAAGACTGGAGTGAAATCAGAGGACTTGTCCCACTCTGCAGAAGCAAATGACAATCAATCTGCTGATGCATAATAATAAAGATTCCTGAACGCGTGATGATGCAGTACCTTGACTCCTGCTGCACTGCAGAGATGTGTCATCCCTGAAGCCCCTCCTTCCCGATAAACACTCATTTATGGTTTCATTAAGTGATGGAAATGATTTTCTATTTGGACTGAGAGGCGCTCCAGAGAAAGTGACGTTCTCCATGCTGGATGACAGCGAGCGACAGAAACCAAAGGGGCGGTCTCTGGACCTCAACGCCCACCTGGGGGGAAACGCAAGTCTTCTCCAGTGGCTGGAGTGTCTGGACTGAAAACTTTGCTGGCTTTCATCCTGAAGAGAGACAAGACTTTACCAAAACATTTAACAAGTGAGGGTAAAATATAGCGAAGGTACCACCAGGAGCTTCACACACTTCTATGTTTGACTGCTGTTTCTGAGTTATTTCTTTCTCCTTCTCTTCAGTTTCATCATCTCCTTCTTCTTCTTCCACAGAAGATTCCTCCTGATTTGGATACAAGTTCGAGTCACATGTCCAGGGTTTATGTGGTGACCCCAAGCTTCTGGGAGAAAGAGGAGATCCACAACGAGACGATTCACTAGAATCGAAAGACGTCGGATTCCTCACGGCAGCAAAATGAACCCCACCTCCGTAGAACGGAGAGAAGGAGGTATGTGCCATAGTTCTTGAGCCTCCCAACCAGTTCTCACTAGGATGTTCAAGATCAGTGGGCTGGAAATCCTGAGAAAAATCAAACTAGTTAGAAACTTGTAGCTTGTATGTGGTAATTTTACTGTTTAAAAGATGGAAGCAAAAACTGAAGCAGCAAATTTATAGAAACTATAAGCACCTCTTTGGAAGTCTCAGCCTCAGAGTGTCCATAATTTCCCTGCTTGCTCTCTTTCACTCCTGCATGGCACTCCTTGCACCCCATCAGAGTGGAGCCCTTTAGCAAAGAAGGTGGGGTACTTTTACAAGCTTTGACCATCCTCCTCTGCATGTTAGCCCCATCGGAGTCCGACCCGCTCCTGTGAGGGAGGGTCCAGCTACGAGGGAGGGTGTGCCGAGATGCCCTGGCAAGCCGTGCCTCTTTGTGATGAAGGCTGTCCGAGGCAGAGAGCAGAGCCAGGGTGTCCACAGCCAGCGCTGACAGGTCCTGGAGCTGACCCAGCTGACCGTCTAGTTCAGACAAGTTGAGCTGAATAAAATTCACCTTCTCTGAAACCTCCACCACCATTGCACACATCTCTTCTGCTCTGGGAGAGAAAATATAAAGTTTACACAACTGGAGCACCTTTATACTTCTTTCAGTTAGGACGTTACAGGGATGATAAATAAAAAAAAACAGGTGACTGGTGTTTAAGAAGAAAAATGTACATGGAAGCAGTGTTCCCTCGCCCGGACGCAGATCACTGGGACCCGCCCTCTGGACCCAGGCCTGGAGGTGGGGCACGTTAGCTGGCCTGGTGGCCAGGTTTTCACACATCGAGACAGCCCGAAGAGGAAACATGGGTCCCCCTTCCCATGGGCTCACCACTCATGGGAGGGGCCAAAGGGGTTGGGTGGTGCAGGGACCATGGCAGTCTGATCCTCGGCTACAGAAGCTGGCTCTTGTCACGTGGAATGTCACTTCTCTGGTGGGAAAGGACCCCGAGTAGGTGTGTGAGGTTGAAAAGTTCCGACAAGATATAGTCAGATTCACCTCTACGCATGGCTCTAGCTCCAGAACCAGTTTCCTTGAGAGGGGCTGGATACTCTACCACTCTGGAGTCGCTCCCACTGAGAGGCGCCAAGCAGGGGTGGACATATTAGTGAATGGTAAATGGCCTGTATTTGATATAGCGCCTTCTAGAGTCCTGGAACCCCTCAAGGCGCTTTACAACACAATCAGTCATTCACCCTTTCACACACACATTCACACACTGGTGGGGATGAGCTACAATGTAGCCACAGCTGCCCTGGGGTGCACTGACAGAGGCGAGGCTGCCGAGCACTGGCGCCACCGGTCCCTCTGACCACCACCAGCAGGCAAGGTGGGTTAAGTGTCTTGCCCAAGGACACAACGACAGCAACAGACTGAGCGGGGCTCGAACCTGCAACCTTCCGATTACGGGGCGGGCACTAAACTCCTATGCCACCGTCCTGTGAATGAGAGGCTAGTCTCCCTCCACCAATGTGAGGGAGGATGGGTCCTGACTGTTGTCTGTGCTTTTGCAGGGGTCAGAATACTTAGGACTTTGTGACATTTCAGTTTCTTTTTAAATAAATCAGCATACATTTCTAAAATTCAGTATTTTTCTGTCAATATGGAGTGCTGTGTGTACATTAATGAGGAAAAAAGTTAATTTAATTGATTTTAGCCAATGTCTGCCAAAAATAAAAAATAAAAGAGTGAAAAATTGATGGGGGTCTGAATTCGTTCTGTGCCCACTGTATGTGCACCTGGCATCAGAATACCTTAGGCAGCAGTTCGATGATTGAATTTGCTGTTGTTTCATCTGATCTGTGGCTGCATGTCTTGGACACTCGGGTGAAGAGAGGGGTGTAGCAGTCAACTGACCACGACCTGATGGAGTTGGCTGAGATGGTGGGGGAGGATGCTGGTCAGACCTGAGAGGCCCAAACGTACTGTGAGGGTTTCCTGGGAAAGTCTGGCAGAGTCTCCTGTCAGTAGGATGTTCAATTCCCACCTCCAACAGAACTTCCAAAACATTCCGGAAGAGGAGGGGGATACTGAGTCCGAGTGGGCCCTGCTCCATACTTCCATTGTTGATTCTGCCAACCAGAGCTGTGGCCACAGGGTCGTCAGTGCCTGTTGTGGTGGCAACCCCTGAACCTGCTGGTGGACGTCGGCGGTTAGGTATGTTTTCAAGCTGAAGAAAGGGTCTTGTCAGGTCTTTTTGGCCTGTGGGACTCCAGGGGCAACTGACACGTACTGGCAGTCCAAGCGGAATGCTGCTCAGGTGATTGCAGAGGCAAAAAGCCAGGTGTGAGAGGAGTTCGGTGAGACAATGGAGCAAGACTTCCGCATGGCTTTGAGGAGATTCTAGTCTTGGAAATCAGTGCACTACCAACACTGGGGACGGTGTGCTGCTGACGTCGACTCGAGACTTGGATCAGTGGGCGGAGTACTTCGAAGACCTCCTTAATCCCATCTGTACATCTTCCAATGCGGAAACTGAAACTGCGTACTTTGAGTTGGACTCTCCATTCTCTGAAGCTGAGGCCTCAATGTTGTCAAAAAGCTCCTGGTGTAAAGGCTCCGGGGGTGGATGAGATCCGCTCAGAGTTCCTTAAGGTTCTGGATATTGTGGCGCTGTGTTGGCTGACACAGCTCTGCAATACCACATGGACATCGAGGGCAGTTCCACTGGACTGGCAGACTGGGGTGGTGGTTCCATATTTAAAAAGGGGGACTGCAGGGTCTGTTCCAACTACAGAGGGATCACACTCCTGAGTCTCCCTGGTAAGGTCTATTCAGGGGTTATTGAGGAGGATTTGTCGGATAGTCGAACCTCGGACTCATGTCGTTTTTGTCCTGGCTGTGGAACACTGGACCAGCTCTATACCTGTAGGGGGGTTCTGGATGGTGCGTGGGACTTTACCTAACCAATCAACATGCGTTTTGTTGATTTTGAGAAGGCGTTCGACCGCGTCTCTCGGGGGGGTCTGTGGGAGGTACTTCGGGAGAATAAGGTACCAGGCCCTCTGATACGGGCTGTTAGGTCTGGGACTGTTAGTAGGACAGTACTGTATACCTGATACTGTTGTTTTCTCACCAAATAATGAAGTCAATTTCTTTTAGATCAGGATAAGATTCATAAAATTAAGGAATTTCTCTACATTTCACTCATAATGAAGGTAAAGTGTGACAGGAAGTCATTTTAGAAATGACTTGTTTTGTTTTTAGGGTTTGAATCACTAATTAATAGATTTATGTGGGCTGGTTACAAAATGCTTTTTCCCACTTATTTAACTCTGGGAACATTTTACTTAGGGGTGGAATATCCCTTTAACTATTTGTACATCAAAGTGAAGCAAATAAGAAAACAAAAAGAAAACAAAAGGCTTTTTTCAACAGCACTACTCAGCCAAGAACAGCTCGGCACAGCGTGGGTTAACTCAACTCATGGTTGGCTTTCCCTGCCAGCAAAACAAAAAAGTGGGAGCGCTCAACACAGTGTGCTGGTGAAGTGGCATTGGTGGGGATCTTTGTGATGTTTACTCGAGACAGTAATAGCAGCCAGAAAGCTCCAGAGCAACCAGTGACTCCGCTCCCAAGCCAATCAACAGCCTTCAGCTGTGATGCCGGCCCGGGTCAGCATGCTTGGAACCACAAGGAAGCAGGGATTGTAGAGGGAAATTACAGAACTGTGCTGATGGAAAAGGCAGCCAGACGAAATCGCACCAATCTGAGTCACGCAGAGTAGAGCCATTGGAAAAGACCTAAAATGTGATTTTGCAGGATTTGATTGCGTGTAAAAAAAATAAAGTGAACCTCTCAGCTGTGGCTCTGATTCTGCTCAGCTGGCTGCTATTGGCATCTTCAGTCTTCTCATGAAAGTAAACCTCAACACATTTCTCCTCAAACTCGTATAGCGTCTTCCGATCCTCGTGGCCCAGATAGAGCTCTGGAAACACAGAAGAACTTGATGAGGGTGATGTTTTCCACCCCCAGGACATTCATACAGTGGTACTCACTGAGGCCTGAACCTCTCTCTTCCCGCTCAGCATCTTGTCTGAATCTCCTAAAGATGCCTCGGACAGTCAGAGCCATGTGGCTGAAAAGAATCAGGGGAGGAGGCAGCCATGGCCGCTCCAGATATGTCATAATGTAATGATAACGGTTGTACCGCCACAGCTTGTTGGACGTTGAAGCCATGTCAAAGTAGATGTTGCTGTTTGGGACAGGTGAAAAACGCTAATCAACACTATTTCTTGCTGAATAAATCACCTTTTTTCCAGGACAAACAGGCTTACTTGAAAAATGCAATAAGAATGTTGACCATGATGATGTACTGGAAGAACATATAGACTGCCTGCAGAAATGGTGTGAGAAAAGATGCAGGAGGGCATGAACCATCCTCATCACAGGCTGTGAACACAAAAACATATACACAGAAAAGTGTAAATAAACAGCATGATTTTTAAGAAGTAAGTAAGTATTTCATTTATAGGTTTTGGTTTATTGTCACATAATTTAGTCTAAATGAAGAATATGCTCACTACAGAAGTCCTGTGCATGTTTTTAGCATTACAGGTGCTTGGTTCCTTACAAAATAACCACAGAGATGTTACATAATAATAAAAGAAAAATAAAACCATCGTGTCTATAGCATTAAAGGAACATATTGTCCAAAACTCATGTTTTGCATCTTTTTGTGCTGCCATGTTGGTCTCCACAGCTTCGATAAACACTTCAAATTTAAAAAAAAAATCTGCCCATTCACTTTCTGTCAGTGTTTGGTGTAGGAATGATGTGCCTAAAACAAGCCATGTCAGAAAGTACCTATTTGTGATGTCACAAACAGGGAAAGTGGAATACAACAACCTCTCATGTGCAGGAGAGTTGCTGCTGGAGGAGCTGTGGCTCTACTCCAAGCCCCTCCCTGGTATCGATGCTTCTCAGCTCAAAGCGGCCTGAGTGAGAGGTGGGTGGGTGTGGCCAGCTCCAGCTTGTTTCTTAAAGTGACACAGCCCTGAAACAGCTCATTCTGGAAAGTGCTGAAACTCTTTTTTCGTCTTCGTTACGTTCATTCTGTGTTGACTTCCTAATTCCATTGTTTTCAGTTCTTTTGGCTCCTGCTGTCACATTTGTCAGAGCATCGCTGATGTTTAGGTGTCACTGTTGCTGTTTATCTGTGGGCAGTGGATGACACTGTGGTCCTCTACTTCCCCCACCTTCCTTGCCGAGTCACTTCCTTTCAACAGGGGGCGCACTGATGGAAGCAAGACTGCTGAACACCGGCACCACCGATCCCTCCGACCACCACCAGCAGGCAGCGCAGAGTACAGTAAGTGTCTTGCACAAAGGACACAACAGCAACATTCTCTGGTGGGGGTCGGGATCGAACTGGCAACCTTCTGATTACTGGACAACCCGCTCTATCTCCTGACTGCTGCTGCCCCTTGTGGCCCACATAGAATAAAGCTTCTGAAATGGCTTTTATGTCACGGGGATTTAGAACAAAAAACTTCATAAATGTTTCATGTTCATAGAACTATTATAACTTACCAAAAAAAGTCATAATATTTTACCTTTAAGAGGTTTCTATAGGGATAGCGTTTTAATTTCAGCAGCTTTTATTCTCCTCTTAACAACTCACCATCTATTTCTCCAGCATAAACCTCTCCAAAAATCATCCAGTAAGGCTGGAAGACTATATCTCGAGCTAAGCTCCACGATGGCTCCTCATCTGGGGACAAGATGGCTTTTCTGGACACTCCGAAACTCAGCAGAACAATCATCATCATCACCACGATGAAGAACATGTTACTGGTCTGGGCACACATAGAATAGAATGGTGAGTGAACACATATTTAATTTTCTGAAGCATGTGAGCAGAGTTCCCATTACCATCTTAGTGATGATGGTGAGGTAAGGACCTGCATGCTTGTTGACAGCCAGAAGATCCAACACTCTGACGAACCAGAAGATGATGTCCAGACAGTAAGCGATGCGTCCCGCTGTCCGGTAGGGATCAGCAAACCAACGCATCACAAATCCAACCACAAAAAGAACAATGGCCACAAAGTCTGATGCATTCCAGTATTCGGAGAACCAAATCTTCAGCTTCTGGCTCAGCTTCCTGGGCTCAGACATCACCACCTAAAGCACAAATATTCCATTTGAATTAAATGATTTTGCTGTTTAGAACAATGAGCCTTAAACTAATACACCGCCTCCGCAATCAAGCTAAATAATGTAAACATGAGAAGAAAACGAAAATATACGTGTCACTCACCTCTCTGGTTTTCTCCACAGCTGTGGATCCAATGTAAACAATGACCATCCACTCCTCAACTCTGGGCTGAGCCTCCATCTTCACCAGGACCACAAAAGAGAACAACATCAGAAAGGCCAAGTAGGACACCTACGTTTGAGATAGAAATATGTTTCAGAGAAATAAAGAAACAAAAATCTGGAATACAACCCATTTGCTCTGATGGAAATTAATACTATTAAAGTCACGCCACCTACTGTATGAAACCAGAACTTGACAACTGGAGCTGAGTAAAACTCATAGATTGTTCTGATCCAGAACAGCCACTGCGCAGATACAGTGGGCACCGTCTCTGAACCAGGACCGCGGCATTTGTTCTGGAACGAGAGGCCTCGCTCTGCATCCTGATGCAGAAAAAGACCAGAGAACAGACCAGGAAGTCCGACATGGGAGGAGTGACACAAAAGCCACTAGAGCTGAAAGCTGCATCAGCTGGAAGGTTACCGTGCGATCGGACCCCTCGGTGGCTGGTTGAGACTTGACAGACTCAAGTCCAAACAGCATGGCCTCATGGCTCTGTGGTACGTGGCACATTTCAGCTCTGCTTTTAAACTCCAGTAACAAGATGGCCGGAGGAAGAAGAAGGCTCAAAATGATCTGAAACATATTACGTGTGTTAAGCATCATAAACCATTTTACACACACACCCACACTTATATTTATATGCTTGTGTGGACCTCCATTGACTTCCACACATTTTAGTGACTCCACTACGCCTAATCTTAACCGATGGGGTTCTATTCCTAACCCTAACCTAAACTAACACCATACCTCTAAAAACCAAGTTTTAGAGTGGTTTGAATAGTGTGAACCAGCAAAATGTCTCCACAATGTGGAAATGTCCACACTTTACAAGTAAATGTCAAAATGTGTCCACTTAAACATATAAATATAAGCACACACACACACATACACAAAACCAGTGAATCAGTGAGTTCAATAGGATGTTTTATGCAATCACAGATCTTTTCATAGTAATGCAGGCTAATAAGAATAGTCCAAAATCATTTTCTGCACATGGTTAGTATGAATTACTACTGTAAAATACTTGCCTTCAAAAAAGAGTTTTTTCTCATGTTGAGTGGACCGGTCCAGAGGTCGGTGAGCAGTGTCTGAGTGCAGGAGTGTGAGACAAACGGTCGGTGGCATGAGGAGACAGCCAGCTGCAGACAGGTGAAGTGGCTCCATGCCTCCATCTCTGAGGTTAACAGTTTCATGGCCATTTGCTCATTCTGCTGAAACGCACAATCCAACACGTCCACCGCTAGCTGACCAAACTCACTGGCACACGGGGGGGGGGGGGAATAAGTTAAATCAGAAACTGAGGTCAAGTTTTTAAAGTTATTTTAAATAAATTGTGTGCCTTTTTACATTTGCATAAAAAATAATTAAATCCTCTCATCCTTAATACGCGGAGGAAGGTTCTCCATTAGAATGCTTCATGATAGAGATGGTTCTTTTCTGAAAATTTAGCTAAACATTAATAAATAACTGGAATAAATAAATACAACAGATAATCTCTAATTAGTGTTTCTGTTCTGTTATTAGAGACTTCTTCCATCATGCAGGTAAAATTGATGCAAACAATGTGCTGTCTTGAATTTCTTGCAAATATTTGAGTGCAGCCCCAGTATTGATAGAAAAACTTAGTTTGAAGAGAATTCTGAACTTATGTAATGATCCATTTTAAATAATAATAATAATAATAATAACTCCTCACAGTGAAAACGCCTTGAAACGTTCTGCTAAGTTGTCATCCATGTTGCTCTGGCGGGCCTGGAAGGCCATGGAGCGGTAAAGTTTGCAGGCCACAACAGCACGTGCCAGTGCTTCTTCTCCATATTGCCATAAGAAGACCGCCATCTGCTGGCGTTGTTGAAGCACAGCCCACACAAAAAGGTCATTGAAGTTGAAAGGACAGGGCAGCGGAGCACTGAGGCCAGGAATAATGTCTGTCCTATGGCTTTTCTCAGATGGCAAACTTGACTCCTGGAGGAACAAAATGGAAAATAAAGGAAAAATATGTTGAAAAGTGGCAACAGGTCTGCGAATATAGACAGTGTTTAAAATATTACACAATTGTACAGTGGCTGTGTTAATCCAAAGGATTTAAATGAAGGCAACTGGACTTCTTGGGTTTCTTGAAGAGGTTTTGCTTCTCACCGTCTTCAAGAAACCAAAGAAGTCCTGTTGCCTTCACTTGAACCTGCTGGATTACCATGACCTAGATGACTGAGAACCTTCACCAGAATAGTGGCTGTGTTAATTCTAGGGTGTGTATGAGAATTAACCTAAATGAAACATATATAGAAGTGTATAGCACATGCAGATCCAAAACCTTTTACCAACCTTAGATTTGTAGGGTTGAGCAGTTCTAAAGAATTGTAGGTCTTGGAGACTTCTAGCTTTCTTCGTGCCCAGTCCCAATCTTTGTTTAGTAAAAGAACTCAGGCTGCTCCGTCTCTGGTCCTACAGAGAGCAAGAAAAGGGTTATCACTAAACTGATTAGAAAAATACTTTACATAAATCTAAAAGCTTTTGTCAAAAACTCACGCTGGACTTTTTCCTACTTAATCCTGGCAAAATTTTCTCAACCTTTAAAGGTGCAGTATGTAAGAATATATTGAGGATTTTACAGTGAGAAAATCCCAAAAAAGTAATGTTTTGGAAGGAAGGTTATACAGAAACGTATTTCATATCCAGCTGGCTTGTCAGTTTTTCTCCTCTCAAAACAAAGGAGGGATGGACGTAACTACTGTTTACCATCAATGAGTGTAGGGTTGCCATGTCTGCTGCGACCTAATACTTCAGCGCCGACAATTCTAATACGATGACGGGTGGCAAAAAGCTCCAGAGTTGTTTAAAGTAGCTGCAGTAACCAATTTTTACCACAAAATGTCAGTTTTACTTCATTTCTACAAAATGTACCTTTTAGATAATTCATGCAAATTCTCATCAAACCACTTTTGGCCTCCAAGTGTCCAGATAGAGTATTAATATTAGTACTTTCATCAAAAGCCAATGACAATTGTATTTCTTTAATTACTGTTTTACATATAGATACATAAGATACATTTAATTATTACATAGTTGTTATATTCACATCAGCTAATAAATAGCTCAGTTCTAAAATCATAGATTTATTTAAATGTTCATATTTCATGTTTTTAAGCTCACCTTATCCTGCATGCGGCTGTAGGCAGCTCTAAAGTTTTTCCGTGTGTAAGTGCTTCGATATGCTCCCCCTATGAGGTATTCAATCACGAGGCCCATGTCAATGAGAGAGAGGCGGTAACCTACAGGAAGAGAGGTCTACACACACATAAACACACAAAAAACAGTGAATCGTGTGCAATACAGATGTATGCATGTCTGCTGCAGCAGGTCATTATTATTGTCAGCACACCTGTTTCGCATCTTCAACAAGGTGGTGCAAGAACTGCTGAGTCTGACCCTGTTTCTGAAGGGAAAAATCAGAGCAAATAAAAGTTGAAATTATTTTCTAACAGCAGCAGCTCTGTGGATATTCACTTGTTTCTTAAGGGAACTCAAAATTTAAGAGCTGTGAATTATTAACAGGCTGTAAAACACAAAACAATAGAGGCAGCGAGGAAAGAGTTTTCGACAGAAGAGCTTTTTGATTTCAGCAGCATCCCAAAAGAAAAAAGAATCAAATCAACAGCTGGGAAAACTGATGCAGTTGACCACAAAAACAAACAGCCGTGGTGCAAAACACTCAGAATGAAATGCTGTGATTTCAATCAAAGCTCATATTTTAAAAATTGTAGTTTAGGAGAAACAAACAAGACTGGTTCTTCAGTTTGTAGCATCGAGGGAGTCATGAGCACGAAAGGGAAAACAGCAAAACAAGACAAACAGCTGTCTGTGGGGCGGAAAGGACACATCCAGAAAAATGACAGAACAAATCTAAATGAGTTTCTTAAAGATTCAAAATCAAAACATAAAAATATGTTTACAGTATTGTAGAGCTCCTCCAGGCGATCCACGGTGAGGAAGCGACTCATTGTCATGCCGTTGTCAATCAGCAGTTTAACAAAACTGACACGGTCCATCACCAGAGAATCCACCATGGCTTGTTCCAAGGATCCCACCTAAGGAACATTACAGGATCAGTCTCAATGGTCATCACTGGTCTGTCATTAGAGCATAGCGAAGAGTATTTTAGTGGGTCTCACCTGCCAGTGCTGTCCGTACACCAGGATTTCCTTCTGTGCGATGTCAGCTCGATCCCAAGCCAGAGTCATACTCAGCTGCTCTGCTGGACTGGCCTTGGTTCCTGTTTTCACATTTGTTCCCAAAATGAAGAAAAAAAAAATACAACCGGTCCAATTTATATATATTAGCACACTTTTTTGGAGTTAAGAATAGATTTTTATTAGAATAAACCTGAAACTCATCAGTGAAAATGAAGATATTTTGTTCATGATGATGATGATGAAGGTGTTTTAATCACCAGATGAAGGTCTACAATTGACAGGCAAAGTAAGAAAACATGTACCTTTAAGAGTAGAAGTCAAAATGGCTGCATCTGGAGCTATCAGGTCTTCTGACTCAGGGTCAAAGATGGTTATCTGTTGGTCAAAGAGATGCTGACCAGCCCGCGTCTTTAATCACAGCAAACGTTTTCCAACTTGAGGTTCAACTCACAGACTGTCTGTGATCCATACACTGCTGGAGGAGGGTGAAAAGGTCTGTGGCTTCAGCCCTTTCAATGCCAAACACATCTCCAATTCTAACAAGGAAGTCTTCTTTAATGTCTTCATCCAACTCTCTGTTAAAGGAGTGTGCAGTAAAATAAAAATTTACTCATCTAAATCCCATTTTGGAAACAACTGTGTGCATTTTTATGATAAAGAAAGTGTCAGCATCCACAGGCGCATCTCCCTTCCTACCTGTTATTAGCAGTCTGCTTGTGTAAGAAAGCGAGCAGGTCTGCAGCCTTGCCTGATCCCTCAAACACAAACACTGGCACAGGGGGGGCACTCCTAATGTAGTCCAACACTGTAGACACAATGGCAGGACCTCCTTCTACCACCACACACACCACAGGGACTCCCTGTTTCAAACCTACACAGAGAGGATAGCCTGTCACTCTGAAAGTGCAAATGCAGTATTCTGGCCACAGGGAGCGGTGGGGGTCTGAGTGACATTTCATTAACCTTGTAAAGAGTAAATTTAGCACATACTGGCTCAAGAAAAGATTAAAAAATATGAAAAAGTCGCATGGTATGGCTTTAAATGCTGTTATGGTAACAAGTACAACCAGTATCAGGAGTAACAGGTATCAAGGTATGATTACAATAATATGATCTTTACAAATTGGTCAAAATAAGTAAAAACAACCTTAAATGATCTTTACATGACACATTACAAAATCCAATTTTATCAATCTATGCTCCAAATTACACTTTTTCTTTAAAGCAGCATATCTGTGAAGACTAGTTTATCCACAATTTTCCAAAAGGCATAAAAACTTTAACGGTGTGGAACACTTGTTTAATTAATACATTTGCAGTTGTCTCTAGTAGGAATGAATGCCTTGTAAGTCGTACTCAGGGGACAAAAAATACTGGTGCACCATTTCCAGGAACTACAAGTGAGCCACATCACAGCTGAGCTTCAGAGGCAGGATCTGGAGTCTTATTTTCTGATTTGGACAGCTTGATTCGGATAGGATAACAGCAACACAACTCTACCTCTGACTTGCAACGTTGATGTTTTATCTCTACAAATAACACAAGCCTGGAGGACCTTCTGCAGTGTGGTGGAGTTGCTAATGCTAAAGGTTAGCATCTACCATTCAAGAAAATGTCTGTCATTTCCTGGACGCTAAACCATCAACAACCTTCCCCGCCGTAAGTCAAGATGGGTGAGTCCAAGAATGTTGAGTGACAGTGTGACGTAGATCTGTCAGGCTTTTCAAATCCTAGAGTTTCACTGGCTATTTTCTATGAGAAGCTAATGTAGAAGATATGTCATGTTCAGCCTGCATGACAAACTCAGAATGATCAACTATAATCAGAAATAAGATTTAAAAAAATATTTTTTCAGTTTTCCACACCTTTAAATTACAACAAACATGGACGTAATTTTCACTTTAGAAGTGGGGCGGGACATGGAGTGGGGGGGGGGGGGGGGGGATCTTTGCAGTATGCTCTAATGGTAAACAGGCTTCAACACAAACGGTTGTTTTCTGCTTGGTCCTAGAGCTCAACCAGTGTCAATTTAATATAGCGTAATATTGTTTTTGGATGGTAAAAAGTGCAGGGGTCAAAACTTGACTTTGGAAAAAGCGGGGGGGACATGTCCCCCCCAAAAAAATACGTCCATGCAACAAAATAACACAAGTGCATTTATACACAGACTCACGTGGATGGACCTTCTGTAGCTGGATGTGTTTCTCCAGTTTTCTTCTGAGACCTTCCTGACAGCCATGTTTTCCCAGCGTCCCATCATCCACCAATAGAAAGTGGGAGTGGAAACCATTAAGACAGGCCCTTTTGCTCAGAGGATTCCCCAGAGGCTGGTAGGGTCTGAATACCTGAACAGAGAATCATGCAACTAAGAAATAGCATGGTAGAGGAGTGTTTTAGGAGTTTAATTGGCAATAAAACAAAAAGAGCAGCTTTAAAACTTACATCTCTCCCTATGAGGTCCATGTTGTTGTCAATCATTCCCCATGGTGTGATGCCAATTGTATTTCTCTTCCTCAGATCATGGCCTCCAAATGTTTTTACTGCATCACCTACATACTTGGACACACCTGAAAATGAGGTAAAGAGTAGCTGAAATGCATTAAAAATATACTGCATAGATTTAATAACAGGAGAAACAAAAGACCCAAATTGTCTAGGAGCAAAGCAGAAATTTATAACAAATTTATTGCCATCCAGGTATGAAAATACAGAAATTTCCTACATTTAAAAAAATCAAAAACTGCAGTATCAAAGGAATCTCAACCCTACCTGTATTGATGCCATCAGTTAGTATCCATGCCCCTGTGCTGAGGGCAGCATTGATTAGCCCCTTGCTAAAGGCCTGCTTAACCTTTGGGGGTAAGACAAAGTTTTCTGAGCCTCCCTGGACCGTCAGCAGTAATTTGGGTCTCTCCATCTGCCATTCCCTCAGCATCAGTTGAAGCAGCGCCTCTGGTCTGGAGTCCACAGCCACACGAATGTACTGAGAAAACATGTTTGAGAGCTCTTTTCTGGTTTCGCTTCAAATGCTGCTCATGGGATTGTTTTGTCACAACTGCAGATACCATCTTTGCTTTCGTGACAAAGTCGTCTTAAAACCAAACCAAAGTTTACACAATCATCAAAGGGTAGATAGTCGTCTTGGGTCACTCTGAGGTTATTTTTGTAACGATTAACTGATTTAGACCTATGGTGTCTAATTTTTATTTTAGACAAATTAAACAGTCATACGGTTAGTACTCACTGACCTTGGCCCGACAGACGCGTGTGGCGGTATCTTGAAAGTCAATGATCCCGTAAGCATCGGTGGGGCTGGCCTTAGTATGGACCATCATAGACCACTTCTCTTCCATGCCCTGTTCCGGACCAGGACAGAGGGATAATGGAAGAGTTGACTCTTGCCAGGAGTGCTCCCCCATCAGGCGGCCACAGCAACATCTAACCCCAACCACCACAAAAAAAATAAAGTATCAGGAAATTCAGTGGAAAGCAGCAAAACAAGTTTTATTCAAGAAAAATCTATCGGATATACTTTTTATTTCAATTTTAAAAAAGTAAAAAAAAATCTGATTATTATGTGGTATGGCTGGGCGATATGACCTCAAATCAATATCACAATATATTGAGGATTTCACCTCGATAACAATAAATGGACGAAAACTACAGGTATGCGCAAAAACAAATGTTGTCCACTAGATGGGGCTGTCTTGTGTATTACATTGAGTCACATTGTCATATGACTGGAGGTGGTACAGCTTCTCAAATGGGCCATTCCCATCTGTACCGGGTCGGCCCGGGCCGGGTAGCGTAGGTTGTTTACACATCTGGGTGGCCTGGTATTTTTCTGGGCCAACCAAGGCTCATTCTCAGCCCTCTTCTCGAGGGGGTCTGCTTCAGGCCGACCAGGGCCAACACACCCACTGCTGACAGCAAATTCACACCGTCCATTAGAGCAAGCCTCTGATTGGTGGGTAGAATCAGCCCACATGGGCTTAAGACAAGGATGTGTGGAATCAACCGGGCCAGGCTGGGGCCGACTGGGGCTGCCCGGGCCGACCCGGTACTGATGGGAATGGCCCAAAAGTAACTTGAATGTTGCTAACCTCTGCACATCTTTTCATCTTTTAAACTATCAAATTTATTGACATGGGAAAAACAATATTGATTAAAGTCAGAAATTTTGATAACGATACATTTTCGATATATCACCCAGCCCTATTATCTGGTGGTGGCCTCATGGAGGGGGCCACTGACTAGCACACTGCTGCTATCCACTTAACATTCTCCCTCTCCTGATAATAACATTCCACTTTCTTTGACATGGAATGTGCTACTACTAGTTTACCTGTTCAATTAACTATAGATTCACTTGGATAAATACAATAAAGTTTATCTCTTTCTACATAGAATATTTACTAAGAAATCACAATGTAGCCACAGTAACACTACTTAGTATATATTTTGTGTGTGTGTATGTGAGTGAGTGAGTGAGTGAGTGAGTGAGTGAGTGAGTGTGCGTGCGTGCGTGCGTGCGTGCGTGCATGCGTGTGTCTGCTCTGTCTTCTCGATCCCCAGTGAGTCGTGGAGGATGGCTACTTATACTGAGTCAGGATCCTCTGGAGGTTTCTTCCCATTAAAAGGGAGTTTTCCTCTCCACTTGCTTAGTATGAGGATTGCTGTAAAGACTCTGACCACTAGTCAGTGACTTGATGCAACCTGCTGGGTTCCTTATATAGGAAACTTTTTACTGATTGGCTAAATGAACTGAACTGTATTGGAATGTTTACTTTGTGAAGTGCCTTGAGACAACTCTTGTTGTGACTATATAAATTAACTGAATTGAACGGAATATACTTAGTTTATAAAAGACATGAGACATTAATATGGTTGTTTTACCAGTTTAGTGAAAACTGTTTCAGAATTAGGATGCAAATAAAATTTAAAGAACAAAAGCAGCATTTTTTGGGGGGACTGAATATGAAAGAGGGTCTAAAATACCGTAACTGTGATACTAAATTAGGCACATATGATTACAATAAATGTAGCTAAAAAGAAAAAATGAAAGCAAGAAAAGCAAGAATGTTTACACATCATTTATAGGCACTTGTAGCACCCACCAATTACAGCAAGTCAGAAACCCTCCTCTCATTTTCCTGTTTCTCACCCCTTCCTAGCCACCTACATCTGTTTCATTGGTCACAGACAGAAACATTCACAAATTCCTACTCATTATCTCATAAATCTCCAACGCAGTTAATTATTTACTCATGTTGAATGTGCAGTGGCTTTTATAACAGACAGAAAGAAAGAAAACAAATGAGAAAAGGTTTTAAAAAAGGAAAAAGAAGGTGGAGGAATTTACACAATAAAATTAAAACGGACTGTGATGATGGTATAAAATACAGTTTATGAAAGGTACCTGATCAGAGTTTGGCACACTTGACATACTGGAATGCATCTGTAAACAACACGAAATAACCTATTATCACACATTTCAAACAGTGCCTTTCCCTAGAAGTAATGGCTAAGTGCCAGATGCTTGTGTTCTCAGAAGAGGTTTATTTCCAGCCCCTGTGGGTAAGGTTATACTACATGTTATTGAAACAGAGCAGCCTTCTAGGAACCATAAAAACGTTTACCTGTGCAGGTCCCAAGAAGAACGGATAAACTTCACACACTCTCTTTTGAAGAAGGTTTCCTCGATCCAAGATTTCCGCGACTAGAATGAGAAAAGATACAACTAATTTAATATACGTAGGTCTAGAATCAGATAGTTTTATCACTACTGGTAAACACAATCTGAATCAAAAACAAACATGTTATTTTTTAAGAAAAAGTGAGGACCTTCTCATGTCCACTCATTGTAGTGCAGCAGGCTGAAGTCCACTTGCTGGATCTGAACGGAAACCTTCGCTACACCCCTACACCCACAAAAACACTCACAGGATGTGAACTGCAGGCAACCCACTCATTCTATTCCAGATCAATCTTCCCTTCATGCTTTCAGTGTTTTTTAAATGTGTTTGCTGTATTTCTCAGTCAGATGTAACAATGGCCCAACTAAGGAATGCACTGTTAACAGGAAACATACAAATATCCCCTTCCTGATGTTCACTCACATGTGGGGAGCAGATTTATCCCCACCCCGAATTTAAACACGTCACCAGATTCTAGAGCAGTTTAACATCAGATCTAAGTTTATTGTGACCACATCAAATTGATATCACTTTTAAAGCTCTGTGAAGATCCTTTTGGAAAAATGTTATATTAATGTTGTTAATTTAGCTTCTTAATTTTTATAACATTGCACTCACACTATTCGTTATTTATGAGTAAATGTGAATATTTTCAGAATAGGCACGTTAAAGTAAGAGACAATTTTCAGGTATTTAAGTATTTGCCAGTAGAAAAAAAAGTGTGTGTGTGTGTGTGTGTGTGTGTGTGTGTGTGTGTGTGTGTGTGTGTGTGTGTGTGTGTGTGTGTGTGTGTGTGCGTGTGCGTGTGTGTGTGTGCGTGCGTGCACGTGTGTGTTTCATGGAGTTTAAGTTTCCTCCCCTTCAGCTCCTCGTTGGCTCATGGGTCCCCAGTCCGCTTTGCTTTACGCCCTGAATGGCACATATGTTGAACTTTAACTTATTAAGTTAAGAATATTAAAAAATTAAGTAATGATGTGTGTTTCAACTATGTCTATAACCATAATACAAATTATATGTTGTATAACTATAATTTATGATTTATTAGCTTTTAAAAAATTGTTATTTAAATTACTACAAATCAGACGCTGCATATCGTCACCACATAATCTCTTCTCCCCAGCGTAGCTGCTACTTTCCATGTGGCCAGATACATTGTGGGTTGTTGTTTTTTTGTTTTGTTTTGTTTTTTTCAAATGTAATGCTCCTTTCGTCCTGGAAGATGGATTCACAGCTCGCTAAACTAATCTTCTCTTCTTCTTCATGTCTGGTTTGATGACATCAATTTGGTGAAATGAACATTTGTAGTCCTATGTGCCTTCACACAAAACCTGAAATAACTTTTGCCACTGTTTGAAAGTAAGTGCTTTCTTGGCATCAAGATGTCTCTTTAATATTCATCATTTGTGAAATTCATGGCACATTTCAGCAGGTTTAGAAAATAGCTTTTATAACCAATTAACTTCCACTAATTTTTTTCTAATTTCCGGGGACCTATGGTCCAGAAATAGATAAAAATGACACAGACTGGCCCAAAAAAAATAGTTGCCCAAAACAAAATGTCACACTAATATTTTCTTGGACTGCTTTTAGCTTTGATTACAGCACACATTCGCTGTGGCATTGTTTCCATAAGCTTCTGCAATGTCACAAGATGTATTTCCATCCAGTGTTGCATTAATGTTTCACTAAGATCTTGCACTGATGATGGTAGAGTCTGTCCGCAGCACAAAGCCTTCTCCAGCACATCCCAAAGATCAATCAACCAATCTGCTTTAATTGTCAATTCTACAACATGTACAGCACATACAGGAAGAATCGAAATTACAATTTCTCTCCATCTCTTAGTGCTAAATATTGGCATTTAAAAACAATTTAAAGCTTTTAAAGGCAAAACACGGCTTAAGACATGCACTGATTCGCAATGGAGTTAAGGTCTGGACTCTGGAGTGTGATGTCTCATGCTCTCTGAACCACTCTCACTATTTGAGCCTGATGAATCCTGGCATTGCCATCTTGGAATATGCCCGTCCCATCAGGAAAGATGGAATAACCCGGTCATTCAGTATATTCAGGTAGTCTGACCTCATTCTCGGAGCACATCCTGTTGCTGAACCTAGACCTGACCAACTGCAGCAACCCCTGATCATAACACTGCCCCCACAGGCTTGTACAGTAGGCACTAGGCATGATGGGTGCATCACTTCATCTGCCTCTCTTCTTACCCTGATGCTTCCATCACTCTGGAACAGGGTCCATCTGGACTCATCAGACCAGTTTTTAATAATTTGGACAGTTCTTAAGCCAGTTTTAGTCTTTTCTGAAGTGTCCTTAGATTTTTTCTGCTTGATGCATGCCAATGATCTGACCCTTCTCATACAAACTAACATTTTCCACGACCACCAGATGTTCTCCACAAGGTTGTTTAAGAAATGAGAAGCAGCTCACTGCACCAGGTGGGGTGGTGTGCCAGCTGAAAGACAATCACCCATGCAGTAGTTATCCATTAGGAGGCTCGTACCTCTTTGCTTGTAACATTTTTATAATTTTTCCTTTTTATATTAAACCTCATTCATTAGTTCAAACGCAGCTACATAAACACGTGAACAAATTTTAAATGCTAATCAGAAAACCAGCTGAAGAAACCCGGACAACGGTGTCTAGCCGAGTTTTGTTACCAGTTTGTTTAGGTCAGATAGAAAAACGCTAATTGCTAATGAGTGCTAATCTGGTAAATGAAATGGAATCAAGTTTTAAGCGTCTCGAACAACTTTTTAAGGCAAACGTCGTGCTGTTCGTTTGAATCGCTATTGAACTTCCTGCTGAACTTACCATGGCCGTGCTCTCGCTGTAGTTTAGGCGTGCAAAACCGTGCAAAACGTTTATGGAGGTCTTCTTTCAGATGCTACCGACTTCATCATAACACGGAGTGACTGCTATTTTATCAGCTGAAGGTCCAAAGGGCATGGAGCCTTTCCAAGAACCCTTGAGGAGCTCATGACCTCCTCATGAGAAAAAAACATAGCTTCACCAGGAAGAAGTCATGTGTTGCTGTGGAGTCCAGAAAACACCAACTAATGGGGTTTACTCACTCATGTTCAGTGTTGTCCTATTTTTTATTTGTTTTCTTTAAGTCAACAAACAAAAAGAATAAACTAGAAAAATTTGCATTTCTTGCAGTGCTGTTTGAATGCTGGATAGCTGAAACTGGAAGCTGAATCTGCTGAACAGCTGAACTGAAGCTGAAACTAAGCAAAACTGTCAAAATGAGCTGAATGTATTAAAAGATGTAGAAGCAAAAAGCACCAACAACCAAGTAAAGCACAAAAAGTGAGTGAATAATAGAGAAAAATAATCCTAATCAGCAGGTAACTGAAATCTGTGAACAAATCTGGACAGCTAAAATATCTAAACACCCATTATTTCAGTAGGACAAGTTTAACAGTTTAATCTCTACATTTAGCTGAACTGTGAAATTAGCAGCATATGCTAAATTTGGAAACTGATTGCTGAAGCTGCTGAATAGCTGAAGTGAAGCTGAAACTAAGCTAAACTGTCAAAATGAGCTGAATGTATTTAAAGATTTAGCAGCAAAAATCACCAACAAGTGTAATAAAGCTCAGAATATAGGTGGAGAATGGACAAAAAAATGCTAAACAGCAGAAAACTTCAATCTTTGAACATTGATTAAAAACTCAAAAGTTGAAATGTTTAAACAGCTGGCATTTGAATGAGAATAGTTTAACTGGTACATTTTTACAATTGGCTGAACTGTGAATTTAGAAACATTTACTGATATCTGAAACTGATAGATTAACATATGTTCAGACTTGATATGGGATGGATGAATGGTTGGATGAATGAAATGATGGAAGGACTGTTGGATGGATGTTAGATGGTTTATTGGATGGATGGATGGATGGATGGATGGATGGATGGATGGATAGAAGCATGTATGGATTTAAATGTGGATGGATGGATTCCTTAGGCCAAGCCGATCGATTTGACGTCTCACATGTGTGGGTGTGTAATTCCATTTAGCTAGATGATTGACCTCTCTCACTTTCCCACCTTCTGACGGTCAATCAAATTTAACTTGTTTCTAGTTTTAAGTTCAGATAGTTCAAAAAGATCAAAAACAGAAGTCTGTTATTGGCTCAATATTCAGCTTTTTATATTAATTCCTATGAGACTTGGTTAAAGTGATTTGTAGTTCCTTTTGTTGCCATGGTAACAGATGACAGGAGTCTGCTTTAATAAAGCAATGTACAATGTCACATGACTCTTTTAAACTTTGAATAACATTTCTATATTAAAATATGTTGGCACAGTTGTGTCTAAAATGTTGTTAAATGTTGTTGCTAGGCACATTGCCATTGTAACGCAGAACAAAATATCAAGTTAATACAAGACTTCTGGGACCAAGCAGGTTGAATTGATGTATCATATGTGTGGGTGCAAATTTCCTTTTAGGCAGGAGACGAATGAAAACTCTCAGCCAATGAGAAAGCAGCGAAGGAGGAGGGGGCGGTCCCTGCCTTCTGACTAGTGTTAAAATGTCAGCTATGCTGCTAGTTTTAAGTGAATAGAGCTCAGAAAGATAAGAAACAGCAGTATGTTATAGGCTCAATATTAGGCTTTTCACATTAATTTCAATGAGACTTGTTTGGGGACATCATTATGCACTTGTGTTACCATGGTAACAGATAATGCATTTAAAATTTAATACTTGATTCCCGAGACCAAGCTGGTCGATTTGATGTATCATATCAAGCCCCCACAATGCAGCTCAAAAATTGACTCCAACCCGGAAGTACCAAAAATTGCAGTTCCACCCTCATTCGCTGGGGGCTGGTGTCAGAAGCGAGCAAATCCTCATTGACTCCCATGTTAATAATACCAATTTCACAGCAGAAATAAACATGTTTACAGCCTGGTACCAAAACATGTTTTTTGTTTAAATTACCTAGTTTACACTCATGACAACTCTGAGGGGGGTGAATTTTTCTCTCACTCTTCTGTTTAAGTGTATTAAAAGCCTAAAATTCTGTATAATTAATGAGCATCCAACCCACGTGACCACCGCTTCAGACCCAAGTGACCACAGAGCTAGCTCCGTGGAAAAGCCTCAGTAGAGCCTCGGTCTGGCTTGGGAACTGCTCCAGGATTTTGAGTCTCTGTGATTGTGTATTTTTTTTTGGATATTATTTGTGCAATTGTTGGACAAAATGACTTGCTGTGGCATTGATTGCACTAATAGAGCATCCAAGGAGTCTCCACTTCATTTTTTTTGGGTAAGTAAAATTAAATTTATGTATTTCAGGTCACCGCCGAGCTGAGCTTAGATTTTAACATGTACTGTTTAACCATGAAATTTAATTGTAATAGGGTAAAACCCAGTGCATTTAACATAATGCTGCACTTTAGAAAATGGGTTGAAATAAAACATGTTGGTGGAGCTGGGTTCCGACTATCGGCTTGTGAAGCTCTCGGGAGACCTCTGTTTTCCACCCGGTTCTCCCCTCCCCGCAGCTCGGCGCATCTCTGTCTGATCGCGGCTTCTGTCTGCTGTGTGGGCTGCTGGCTGGTTCTCCCCGCAGCTCGGCACATCTCTGTCTGATCGCGGCTTCTGTGTGCTGTGCGGGCTGCTGGCTGGTTCTCCCCACAGCTCGGCGCATCTCTGTCTGATCGCGGCTTCTGTGTGCTGTGCGGGCTGCTGGCTGGTTCTCCCCACAGCTCGGCGCATCTCTGTCTGATCGCGGCTTCTGTTTGCTGCGCGGGCTGCCGGCTGGTTCTCCCCACAGCTCGGCGCATCTCTGTCTGATCGCGGCTTCTGTGTGCTGCGCGGGCTGCTGGCTTGTGGAGCTCTGGGATGGAAACCTTTCCACCCGGTTCTCCCCAGCGGCAGCTCTGCGCATCTCAGATCACAGCGGCGCTTGTCTGCTGTGTGGCTGCCGGCTTGTGGAGGTCTCGGAGACCTCTGTGTTCCACCCGGTTTTACCCAGCGGTCAGCCTGGCGTATCTCTGACTCAGAAGCTCTGGTGTTGTGCACAGTTAACTCCGGTTGAAGCTAGGTTGCTACCTCCGTTAGCTTAACTCCCACCTCCGCATTAGCTTTGGGTTAGCTTCAGATTAGCTTGTAGCTAGATCAACCGGGTGTCGTCAGTTGATCCCAGCCTTACAGCCACACCCTCAGCTCCACCTCTCTTCCCTTTTGTGGAATTGTCTGGGCTTGACGGAACCTGTGACACGGTCAAAATGGCGGTGGTGGCCACCTCCCATTTTAGCACAAAAACTTATTATTGGAGTCTATGGAAACCCATTGTCCAATATTTATATGTCGATGTATCATATGTGTGGGTGCTCGATCCTGCTTGGACAGAAAATGGTTGAACACTCTCAACCAATCAGAGCGCAGCACTGTTTTTCGCCTTTTCCTTGGCTGCTGGAGGCCTGCAGCTGTACTCCTATTAATGAGAGAAGCCTTTAAATCTGTCCTTCAGAAGTGAAATTGGACCTGTCAAACTTCTCATCACCATTCGAAAAGTACTGCACCGATTTGAAAAATTCAAAAAAGTGTGGGCGGCAGAAGACTTTGGGGTCGTGTGTGTCAAGTCTTGTGTGCCTACCACAAATGTTCTAGAAGATATGAGGAGAACATTTCAGCTGTCTGTCGGCCACAGGTGCCTTTTTAAAAGGGATTTTACTGGATGAAAGCTGGTACAATCCTCCTTCTGGGGATTGTAGCACAAAAGATGTAATACCAACAGCAAAACTGAAGACAGCACTTTGAAGCTGACAAAAAATCCTACTTTTTGAGATATAATTTGTTTCGATACTCCAAACGGTCTGGGTGTCGCAAAGAGTTGTTTCCAGAAAATGTGAAGGTCAAAAGTTAGAGTGTGGAATTTTCAGTTTAGAGTGGTGAGAGACATTTTTTTAATTTTGAATATTCTCAAAGAAATGAACAAAACGACCACAATGTTTGGAGTACATTCATGATTTATAGCTCAAAACGAAGGTATGTCCGTTAGCTGCAAGCTGGCATGTGTCTCATTTCAATCGGACTTAAGGTTTTCTCAGGACAATGCCAGAAATGGAGCAAAGGAGGGTCATTGCTCCTATCTCTGCCCATTATAATTTTTGTGATTTTTTTCTGAAAATCTCAAGCCGTACTTCAACTTCTACCTGTGATTTTAGAAAAACTGTAATAGATATCAAAAAGATTTTCTAACCAGTAATAGCTGAAAGTCTTGCGAGTTCGTTGAAACATGAATGAAGTCTCTAGGTTAAAGTTAACCTATAAGAGTTCAAAAAAGTGATAGTATTTAGCTGAAAATTGAGCAATCCCATTCATTTCAATGGGACCAAAAATCGCAGAAAAAGCTGAATATCTCAAAAAGTATAAAATATTTTAATACCAAAAGTCATTGACGGCATAAGCTGAACAAGCTGAACGTTTTGATACCAAAATTGTGTAAATAGTTGAGAATTGTGGAAGTAGTTAAATGCCAAAAAATGTACGGAAGCAGAATAATAAACTAACTATAAAGAGAAACAGGATCACTATAGTTTGAATGCTTTACAGCATTCAAACAATTAAATCAGTAATGAAATGTACTTTATTTCCATTAAAACAGCAGTGCAAATACAACAGAGTGTAACATTTTTATTTAGTATATTTTCATCCTAAAACCATCATCTACAACTGAGATGCTGTCAATAACTCTTACAAATGCAGAAACTAAATAACTACTTACATAAAGTGAGCTGGCATGTGTATATAAACTACAATTCTGCTGAACCTCTATAAAACGGACTAAAAGCAGCCTGTTTCATAGCCCGTCTCTGAGGCTCACTAAATCTCCATTCTGATGCTCAGGTGTACCACCACACCTGGAAGCATCCCACTTTCCTCACCCTGCCTGACAAGAGTTTAACTAAAAGACCTGTTGTACCCATTAGTTTCAGGTCTCCATGGCATCCAAATTAGAGTCAGTGACTTTTGGCTCATGCTTTGTTTGTGAAGAATCACTGAGATCATCTAGTAATGAAAGGTCTAGCGCAGGTAAGGGAACCCTCCAGTACTGGAATGAGTTGTAAATGCTGTCTTCAGCATGGCCGTTTCCCACTGCCTGAAAAGAGAAGAAAAACACATGAACATACAAAACACATCTACAGGTATTGTTTAAAACACTTTTTCTTCCAAATTACCTGTAATTTTGTTATTTTTAACAGTGGTTCCCAACCTGGGGTCCGTGGTTCCCCAAAGGGGTTCCCACAATGTTCTCTGGGCTGAGGTTGTGAGATTAGGAACATTACATTTGTGAATATTACATATATAAAATCCCACTAACACACCCAATAGCATTAATTAAACTCTATTAGATTTATAATTGTATACCTTCATAAAGTTTTTAACGAGTGTATGTGGGTATGAGATAGGGGTCCAGGCCAGTGGCGACGCCAGGGGGGCGCTATAGCTACCCCTGGATTAGTCATTGCACCCCCATAGCACCCCCAAGTAAATATTAGATTTTTTTTTTTACAATTTAATTTTAATTTAACATGTGGATGTGATAATATTTAGCATACAAAACAAAAGATAATCAGTAAATTATCATATAGATAGTAAAAACTTAAACCAAAACAGGAAATTTATGTTAACCTTTGACCTCATTTTCCACCTTCGAACAAGTGAAAGGTAGAGCTAGTGGTAAAATGTATCGGTTTGTGTTGCCCAAATTTCCACAGGTTCAGTCAGAAACGAATGAATCTTTGGAAGTGATCTCAGACCCAAAAAAACCTATGAATCTGGATTAATTCAATTCTATTCAAATTCAATTCCAAGACACTTTATTAATCCCAGAGGGAAATTAGAGTTTCAGTACACACAATTCTGAGATCAGACATTCATACATAGGCATAGACACATGACAAGAATTGGTGACTGTGGTCATTCGCAACCCGAGTCGCGCTACCGTAATAGAGATCAGAGGGTTACATGAGGATTGGGTCAGGTGGAGGAATAAATAAATACATAAAAAGAGAGTCAACCCTCAACCGCCGCAGCAGTCGAGGGTTTTGCCGCTGGAAATGCTAACACTAATGTTAGCTAACCTTGCAACACTACAGATGATTTTCTGTGTGGCTGTATGTGTTTATGACTTCATGGAAAAGTCTGCGATTGTTCATATGTTTATGATGTATATTAATGATTGTTTCAGGTGTTGTTGAGGTTTTGTGCACGCACGTGTATCTGCTAGTGTGGAAGGTAGAGAACAATAGGTACGCATGACCACTTCCTTCATAGCACCCTCAATAAAAAGACTAGCTCCTTCATAGCACCTTGCAGAAAAACATTTCTGGAGCCGCCACTGGGACTCCAGGCTGGACTTGGACACAGGCAGGGAGGGGGTCAACAAGAGGGGAAAAAGGTTGGAAAAACACTGATGATAGTTTTCAGGTCAACAGTGACGCCTAGTGGATTTTTATACTCATTGCATTATGAGTTACTCAAAAGAAACGGATGCAGTGAAACTTCTATAATGATGCCATGGAAACCTACCTTATCATTGCATGAAGGTAAAACTGCCTCTGCGCCCACGTGGTCCACGCGGGGTCGCTTCTGGACCTGGGTGGTGCGCGAGGAGGTGCATTCGTCCTGAAAGCTTTCAGAAATCGGCTCCCTCGAAACAGCTGGAGGTTTCTTCGACTCGCACAGCGGTCTCGTGAGGCAGGGCGCTGCTTCTTCTGCCTTCTCCTCATTTTCTAAAGAGTGCGGTCTTTTCCTGCAGCGACTTCTCACTCCCCCGGTCGGAACCATGCTCTCCAGCCAAATATCAGCCTTGCTAAGCGGCTGGGCGTATCTCCGCTTGGTCGGGGATTCAAACAGCAGCCTTTCCTCTGCACGCCTCTTTGCCATCAAAATTAAATTTTATAACTCAAAAAGCATTTTTTTTACCTCTTTACAGTAGTTGCTGTTTAGTAATGTGCGCAGAAACTGAAAACCGGAAGTGAAATGACAAGCTGTAAAATGAGCCAATCAGATGGCAATCCCTGCCTTGGCCCCGCCTACGGCGTCTGCTTTTTCTGTTGCTGCAGAAAATCGCATCTATGTTTTTCGCGTTTAATTTTCATTATGCAGTAGTATTGTCTACTTGTATGTGAACACGTTCTGTTGCAAAAACATATTGGCATAAAACTAAAGTTCCTATTTATTTATACCGAGAAAAAGCCTTCATATTTACAATATTTCTTTATTTCAAAGTATCGTTTGAAAGCAGAGGAATAATTGACACAATCCGTCATTCAAAAACTCAAAGGCAACACATGGAAAAAAAGGCAAGGTCATTGGCACAAAGAAAAAAATAAATAGTCTTCTAAATGTTCAATACCATGCTTATTTACGCATAATGTGTAGAAGTAAAACTGTGGGTTTAAATTGCTAAAAGGCTTACAGCTCTTGACTACAACCAGCTACTTTAATCTAGTCAGAGGTAAGAGCCACTACGGACTCAAAAATGCTGTTTTGTGATTACACGTTATAACACAATATTGTAACATTGCTAATCACAAGTTACATTCTGTATTTAGGTGTTTGCGCTATTCCAGAAATATTAAACAGTTGAGTGAATCTTTCCAAGAGAGTCCAGGCCTTGGATGCAGCTTTTGCAGCCTTCATAAAGTCTAAAACACTTAAACTTGGGAAAATCATTGTGTCCATTTTGCTCTTTTGAAAAGTCAAATTATTTACAATGAAATCAACATTTGACCTTTAATTAAAGCATTTTTGTCAGAAATGTCATGTCATGTTAGTCTGTCACTGCTCTCTCTCCGTGATGACTTGGCAGCTGGGGGACAACTGTGTTGTTGCTCGTCCTCTCGACCATTAAAGTGCAGCTCTTTGGGTTTTCTTGCAACAAAGAAGACACAGTCATAGATGTATCGCAACATAGAGCGGTCGTTTTCTGTGTAGGTAGTCTGCATTGACTCCTTCTCCACCTGCAAGAGAAACATAAACATGGAACTACAAAAACAACAATTACAAAAACTAATTAAAGCAATTATTTACCTCAATGAGAAAGCCCAACTTTATGATCGCTGTCCTAACGTCTTCATAGCTGAGTTCAATGGAGAGCTCATTGACCATGTTCTCAAAATGATACAGAAGTGGACCTAAACATGTTAAACAAAAAATGTTTCACTTTATTTGAAAAAAAAAAAAAAGATATTAACACTTTAAAAATATACTGAAACTACACACAAAGACATCATGAATAAACGTTTTATTTTGAAGAAAGTTTTGTGAACAAGTTCAGCGTTTGAAGAAAATTGCCTTTCTTTTAGTTCAAAGTACTTATCAAGATGTCATAAAATAAGTTTAATTTACACCAAGTTTAAAAAAAAAAGAAACAAAACCAGTTTTATAAAAACTGCCACACAGATTGTATGTAATAATGTAATGTCAAAATCAAAACTAAGATAAAACGCAAAGGCCTTGTTACAAAACTTCTTTCTATAAAGGTTAGAATGGTATGAGGCTGTTAGGAGCAGAAGGTGATAAAATAAACCTGATTTAAAGGTTTTCAGCCCCAAACAATTTCAAATCCATCTTTCTATATTAAATATTATTCGAGATAAAAACATTCAAGACTGCTGCCAGGCATATTTAAAATATTCAGTTGCCTCTTAGACTCAACAGACCACAGTTATGTCAGATAATAAGTCTGTGAAATTCAATAAACATTGAACAAATTGCTTGGATGGGTCAAAAATCAGCTTATAGCCAGCTTGCATGAAGGTTTGTAAAAACATTAGAGAATTGTCTCCAGTTTGGTTAAAATCTGACCTGAAAACATAAGGACAGTCTGAACTGAATCTCAAGAGAAAATGGGTCATGCAGCAAGAGAAAAATCTCAAGCACACAACTTGTTCTTCCAAAGAATGATTGAACTAGTCTCACCTAGGTTGATCCATACTCCTCCAGGTTTGAGAATCTTCCAGATGGTGTCCACATACTCCATGATATTATGAGCTGTGTCGATAAAGAAGCAGGTTGCCACACAGTCCCATACCTCTGACAAAAGAACACATTACATCTTTAAGATAATAATATCCTACGAGTGTTTGCAAAGTTTGACTTCCGAGTGTTTGCAAAGTTTGACTGTGTTCATTTAATATACCCGAGTCAGTGTAAACCTCCACAAAGTCCCCTGCCACCATGGAGAAGTCAGAACTCAGTGGTAGATCTTGAGGGTTGACGTCAGGGAATCTGACTGGTCTTGTTTGGTCAGAGGATCTTTTGTTGTTGCTGAACTGGTGAATCCAGGGATACAAGGTGAGAGAATTCACTTCTTCACACCTGAAGCGGTTCAAAATGACACCATGAACAAAGACATACTTTATTGGGTAGAAACTAAGTTTCACTGCATAATACACACCAGTTCTTATTTGTGATCACAAAAATGTAATTTTACAGAATTATATGAAATGATTCTATGCCAGGATGATTGCATTACAGCAAGATAGTTTTCACAGGGGCTCCGAGTGTTTGTGTTACCTGTTGAGAACAAAGTTTGAGGAGAAAAGCATGAAGAAGCTCCATTCGTTGCCCTGACACATGTAGCCCAGCTGAGCGATCTCCCAGGCAAGACGACCAAGCCCAGCTCCAGGAACCAGGACACTCACCTTAGACACATCACTGATATAATAAAATGCACAAAATGCACATATCACATAGAAAACAAATCAGACATATATTTGACATAAGCTGTTCCAAACTGTAGCAAAACATAAAGTAACTGGGGTTTATTACATCATTTGTTCCCTCTACAGCCATGCAAGTGCGTTTGTGTGTGTTTCCCTACTATTTGTCACTTGGGAAGAGTCTCTGGATTTCTCTGATGATGGGTTTGTAGCATGAGTCCCTCTCAGCCTTGCCCACTTCACTCCAGTCCCTGACAAACTGCTTTATGGTGGACTTGAGCTTGTCCATGTCAAATGTGGATGAACGCGTTTTCTTTGGGTCTACTGGCTAAAAAGCAGATGGGTAAGGTTGCGGCATAAAACTGTTAAGGTATAAAAAGACATCAGAATTTACCAAAAGTATTACCATGCAGTGCTGGTTCTCTATATGTGCATAGTGCGTATGACTCTGGTTTGAGTCGAGCCCTACCCTATTACCATACTCCACGTTCTCAAACATGTGGAGGCTGTTGTGAACGATGGCCTCCAGAATCTCCTGGTTGTGTTCGGCACACTCCCTGACCCGGGCGAGTTTGGGTAGAACTCCAGGCAGCAAATTCTGGTGCTTTTGAGACAAACTCAGAAACTGACGCTCAGCTCGTGTCACCTGCTCCTGGACGTGGACTCTGGATGTAGAAACAAAGGAAAAACATCACATTACGCACACATACCACTGGTAAATTATACACCAACCTACTAGGTTTGTTGTATTTTGTTACGTATTTCAACATATCCTCTCTCGCCCTTTGATTTCCGTAGTTTACTCTGTAGTTTGTGAATGAGAAAGACAGTATGAACCAAAGATAATTCAGCTAAACGAAAAACATAACGTTAACAGGTTCAATATTTATTAGAAAGTGACTCTCGTGTGGAGAGCAAAAAGTGAAACCAGTTACAACAGTTTTACTTCAAGCTAACAAGATTATGATACTCCTAACGACTACTTGGACATTTTCGGACTTTATAAAAAGCACAAATTTTCTACCTGTAAAACCTAAAAGCATCGATTATTCTCCAGAAATGCTGCCTTTCAAGTCTGGCTTCCTCCTCTGGGTTGTGTTTTATCCTTTCTTTCTTATAATATGGTCCACACCTCGCTCCTTCTGTTGTTTCAGCCATTTTTGAAGCCGACTCACAGCGAGCCAATCAAAACGCGCCAAATGTCTTCTTCTTGAGACTCAACAATTCAGTAAATTAAATTCCACAAGACGCACTTCTGCCATCTAGCGTCATGTGGAAGAAATGCAAAGACGTAAATGCAGTCTGGTCTGCAGCCATTACCTGGCCCGCCAGACTTGCCCTCTGTCTATTCTGCTACTTTGCTTTTCATTGAAGCATTGGCATGGCTGGCCAGGCTAGCAGCATATACTATTGACTAAATACAACCAGAAAAAAGTTTGATAGAGTAGTGTACAACCTTTAAAAATAAACAATTCACAACTGTAAAGACTATTGTAAACCAAGTTCTACAAACTGGTTGGTCTTCTGTCTGGCTTCTTGTTAAACTTTTCACTAAAGACACCAAATACAAAAAGGAATATTTTAAATTAAATCTTGAAAAATTAAAGTTCTTTCACAATGAACTGACTAAATTTACATTTGAGATGAAGTTATATCCTTTACAATTAACGTCTGTAATTTCAAATTAAATTAACATTTTTTTAATAGATTGATTTTTTTGGCTAGTGGAACTTTGTATCTCCTGCATGATGGAAGAATGCTGAAAGAAATGTTGAGGTTGAGAAGGTTTCTATGTGATTAGGGAGGCTTTACTCATCACAATTATTTTGCCAGTTGGATCTGTAATCTGTGAGAGTTTACTTCCTGTCTACTGGTGAGAAAGTTGCACCAAAATTATGTTAAAGGTGAAAATAGAAATGACCAGTTGACCATGTTTGTAATCTGAATTCCTGACATGAAAATCTCTTATCTTCCTGGAAAGGTGGGCGCTGGATTGCCTTATTGTAAATTGGATGAGTGCATTTGGAGTGCATAGTGTCCATCTGTGTCCCCTAATATTTAAAAAACTCCCTGTTCAACTGGCTCACCCTGAAAAAAAAGGTTTAAAGAGCTGAGATGTAGTTGCTGTTCTGTCACTGCCCACATTTAGCTTTGTCTTTGACATCTAATTCAACAGATTTTCTACCTAAAGTTGTGACAAGTTCATCCACTGCCAGTTGGTACTGGGCCAGAGCCTCCATACTGTCCATTTGAGCCACCAGGGCCATGCCATCTGCATAAATAAGACTCATTCTCTCCCTGGTACAAGTGATGTTGTGGCAAGGTGGAGAAACAAGGGCCCGGGTGGGATTCGATCCCCAGACTCCCAGGTGACAGTCATGCGCACTAGCCAGTCAGCCAAGGGAAATCCCACTGGCCAAGTAGCCAGGGCACATGATCAATTGGGATACAGTGACACTCACCCTGTCACAATGTCAGTGAGACAGATCAGAATTGGTGATAAAACACAACCTTGTGCTTAAAACCCATTTACTGGACTTTCAGTCTGAAAACACTTGCAGTGGTTTATTCTTTCAAAATGTCTTATCCATAAAATCAAAGTTGATTGGATCTGAAAGTCTTAATAATATTATGTATTGTTTAATATTATTTATCATCTATTCCCTCCCTTTAGGACCCATCTTTAGAAGATTTAACATAAGCTTTAATTGCTATGCTAATGACACTCAGGTTTATGTCTCCACCACTCTGTCTTCTTTGCTTCTGCCTCTTTCACTTATTGACTGCATATCAGAGATTAGATCTTGGTTTTCTTTAGATTTTCTTAAGTTGAACTCCACTAAACTGAAGTCCTTCTCATGGGTATAAAATCTGTGTAGGGAAGGCTGGAGCCTTCTCATTGGCTATTGAGAACACAACAGTTCTGTCTAGAATGACACCAAGGCTTTGGTCCTACCATTTACATATCAGTGCAGTTACTTGTTCTCACCTTTAAAATAGTATCACCTGCATCTGTCACTCTCTAATCACGGCACCACCACCTTGATAAATAGTTGTGTCACTTCTCGTTTGGACTACTGCAATCCCCTCCTCTTTGGTTTATCACAGACATATTTGTACAAACTTAAAAACTCTGCAGCTCGTACCATTGCTACACCCATCTCTAATCACATCATCCCAGTTATCCAGCAGCTTTACTGACTGCCGATAAAGTTCAGGATTATTTAAAAATGACTACTACTTACATTTAGGGCCATTCACAACCTTGCCTTCCCTTATCTTCCTCAGCTCCTACAAATATTTACACTCTCCCGTATGCTCAGATCCTCAGCCTCAATTAGCCTCAACAACCCCCTGGTCAACTTGTCACCATGGGAAGTCAAGCATTCAGTAGATTTGCACCTTCCTTGTGGAATTCAAAATGGCCACATTTGTCCACCACTATAAAAATAAACTTAAAACCCACCTGTTCAAATTGTAATCTATTGGGATTTGTCATTTATGTATATATTTTTTTGATTTTATGATTTAGTTTCTTGTGCCTGCTTTGTTTTAATTTATTTTTCTGTACAGTGACCTTGATTTTCTAGAAAAGCACCTTAAATAAAAAAATGTACTATTAATAATGAGCTTGCACAACATTTATTACATTATGCTAGTGTGAATGATGGGCATTTTAAATTAGCATATTTGCATATAGTCATTAAGCAAGACAAGGCAAGAAGATAAACCACTTGTTTTTAATGTATCTTGTTACAACAGTGAGAGCAGAAACATGTCTTCCATCAGATGTTTGGGTTGACAATCTTGCCCATGAACAGTGTGTGTTTAGTGTTGCGCTCAGTCACAATCACCATGAAAGGACGATTGAACTTCAGTTCTGGAACAAAGTGGTAGGAAAGCGGTATAAAACCAATGCCGGTGGCAGCGGCTGCAGTGGCTCCAACCTCATCGACATCCAGAGAAGCTTTGTGAACAACCTTACAGCACAGGGAAGGCAGAGTGAGTCTGCATGACAGTTTGAAGGCAAATAAATGTAGTCATAAGTTTTTTCAGCCTTACCGCCGACACCACCAGGTTTTGTTTCTCTGAAATGCCACTGAAGTTTGCACGATTACCAAACATGTCCGCGATTCCCATTTCAGTCAACACCCCATTCAGCTCGTGGGACGTCTTGATGGAAAACTTCGGAACATAGATGGTGTACTCACTAATAAATGGAAAACAGAAATAATTGTAAGAATTTATCAGATAAAGACTGGAGTTGGATCTAGATGTTAAATCTCCAAACCTGGGCTTCTTCCATGTTAGCCATTTAGTGACATGAGCTGGGCTTATGGCCTTCTCCAGAGTTTCCATATTATTAGGCAATAACAGCAGCATGGAGTAGGAGTTGTTGAAGGGAAGGTGGAGGACTGTTGTGTTAAGTATCTGGTCATGATAAGTTTCAAAATTTCCTTCTTCTATTTTCATCATCTGGACTACAACCTGGAAATGAATAATTAGTTGTTCCCAGAATAATTAAGCATGCTGATGAATTATGTTGCATCTCAGATCTGTGAGATTTTGAACCTTGTTTTTTTCATCTATGTTGAAATCTTCCGGCCCAGTCAGGCGAGGATCAAATGGAGTCGCCCACTTCCCTGTCGAAGCAGCAAACAGACTTGAGTACATCAGATTCCGAAGTATCAGGATGAAAGAAAACAAACAAACTTATTTTGTTTTACCTTTGTAGTAAATGTAACTGATGAGATACATGACCGTGTCTGGGTCCAGACTCTCCACCAGTTTGTCTATCTTTCCATTGGTTTTACCTGACACATACTTATTGATGGTATTGGAGCTTTCTGTGGTTTTAGTGAAGTTAAGATTGAAGCCTTCAGCATAATAAGACTGTTTTAGGACATCCAGGAACTCAGGCTGGGGCTTGAAGAAGCTGTCCACAAACACAGCGGTCCCTGCACTTATGTCCTTGTGAGACTGCATGCTTGCGAGGAGAATACGAAAGGCTTGGTCTACATCTGTTTGGGCCAGTTGGGAGCTGTTGAAACCCAGACCACTGAACAGCTGTCTGTGAGTCTCCCCCCTTGCCCCTACAGACAAAGCAGCCAAGGCAACAGACACACTAAAAGGTGAGAAGAAGACGTTTTTGCCCTGGGATTCAGTGAGACCTGCCAATTTCCTGTACAGTCGGTAAGCAAACTCTGTGCTTGCTGAAGTCACTAGAGAGTTTCTGTTGTCCCAGCTGTCCACAGCAGTTTCTTGGTTTTCCTTGGCATACCCTAAATGGTGATGGCCTCCCCCCACACAGACCACTGCTGATAAGATCCACAGAACCAAGGCTGCGCACATCGTGGTGAACTGAGAAGGGTTCAACAGAGTGTTAATTTGGATTACACAATGTTTGCAATTTTCATGTATAAACTGAGGTTTAATGGAGACTTTTTCTCAACAAAAAGAAAAAACACATCTGACCACATTTGACAACTTTTATAATAAAAATGCATGGCCCTTTAATTCAGAGTTAAAAAAAAGAACATGTTTAAAAAGAAATAAAGTGGCTCATTGTTTGATAGAAGACTAAACTTTTGTAATTGGTTTGCATTTGGGGAAAAAATAAATGTTCTAAACCCCATTAACCACTTACCTTCTACTAGCTGCAGCTCACAGTTTATTCCATCCACCACAGACAGAAAAGTACTGATTGCATAGAAAGAGCTTGTGTTTATACAAATGATCAGCTGCACTTTGACTCTGTTTATTCTGTCCTCAAACCTCATTTGTTCCATTTAATGATCTACTAACTAATCATGGTGCCACACTCAGATTGATACAAGTACAGAAGAATAGATCACTAATCATGGCGCCACACTCAGATTGATACAAGTACAGAAGAATGGGGTTTTTGATATGACAAAAGCATAAAGTGCTGTGTTTCTCCAGCTTGTATAAAAGAAAAATTAGACTAACAAAGTAATTCATGATTTATTGAGACTAATTTGGTTTACTTTACTCTGGTGTGTCACATTTTGATAAAGTCTGCGATCTTCTATCATAGGTTAAAGCAGGCAGCAGCAAAGTGCTGTGCTGTCCTTCAGACCAGCTCTTTCTAGCCATTGGTAGGATTTCTTGAAATCAACCACTTCAGTCATCTGTTGGTGGGGTTTGTCCTCCCACCATGCATTTCCAGCACCTCCTCTTCTGTTCTACATTGTCTGACTCATTCACTGAGCACGTCATCTGTTGGGGTCTTATCCTTGATGTTTGGAACTTAGATGTTTCATCATGGACAGTGGCTCTCACACTCACTATTCCTCAGCCTCTTTCCTTACAGCCAGTGGAAAGTCTCGGGGTGCTGGATTTGGAATGAAACCCTTAATGCTTGGTTATGAGCTTCTGTGTCTTAACGTCTGGGGTCTGTGGGCCCCAGGAGTCAACATTGGGAGCCCAGAGCACACCAGCGATATCCAGCGCCCTCTGAGACAGACCGTGGGTCAGAGTCAGAGGATGACGCGCCGTACCGTGAGTCAGGGCTCCGTGTACGTCAAATTGAATCGCTAGCTAAAGACATAGAACGCTTTGATCCTAACACCATTGAATCCAACGTCGACGATTATCTCAGGGAGATAGAACGTTGTCTGCTTGATCTTCCAGCACCCTCTTCAAGGGAAAAGCTCAAGCTAATTTGGAAAACCACATCTAGAACGGTGCACGGTTTCATGGAAACTACCATCTGACATTCGAGATCGGTACTCCTCGCTCTGCCGAGCGTTGAGAGATGAATACGCCACGTATGCAGACTCTGCGTCAGCTACAATGGGGGCCTTCTCCATCAAACATGGGAGAAACGAACCCCCCAGAGAGTATTATCGCAGACTCAAAAGTGCTTATTTCCAAGGTCGAAACGGCCCTGGGCTCGAGGAAGACCCTGCCTTCAGATCCCTGTTCATTCACAACCTGCACGAGTGTGTTCGCTCTGAAGTCTCAGTGTATTGTCGGATGAAAAAACTGACAACTCAGGAGATTAGGAGATATGCTCAACAGGCTTGGGAAGCCGGCAGGAAGCCCCAAAAGCCTGACGCACATCACCGCGTCATGCACCTAGCTCCCGACGCCGAGCCGCGTTTGGAGCTCGAAGGCACAGAAGCTCCACCCACTAAGCCAAAATCTGCTAAACCTAGACCTGTTAAACCGCGAGAGCAGTCCCAATCTCCTCAACAGGGGAAGGGGGGTGCTGATTTGCCGCCTAGGTCTGGACAATCAGACAGGAAGTGGCCCAACCAAAACCAACGGCAGGCAGGTCGGAACAGTGGAAGGTTTAAGGAGCGCCGCCAACAGGTAAGTCCCGAACGCAAGTCCGCAGGTGAGTACTTGACCAAAGCCGACCTCCAGGAGATGTTTCAGCAGTTCCTAGCTAAACAGAAGGAACAGCTGAGATCTGCAGATGAGACCCCTGCACCAAAGTCTTCTTCTAAGAAGCCAGACCCAGAGCCAACGTCCGCATGACTAGGCATGGCTCAACCCCCCAGCATGGCCAGGAGCTACCTGATCAGCTGGGGGAACACTACTGGTAGACCACAGGAGTCTCCTGAAATCTACCCCCCAGAGAAACCTGATACTAAATTTCTGAAGTTCCTTGGTGACTTAACAAACCATGATCATGCTCGCCGTTTGTACTGTAGCACCAACGTAGGTGGATGCATACAGGTTGATGCCCTGCTGGATACCGGCTCAGAAATCACCCTGATGTGCTTCACACTGTTCCATCGCGTGTCTGACACCATGCGGTCGCTCGGGAAACCAGTCCAGGTAGAACCCTGTGACCTGAAAATCACCAGCTACACCCAGACCCGGGAGTGTATCACTCACCGGGCGTGGCTGGATATCACCTTCCAAGACATGACTCTGGTTCACCCGTTTTATGTCTGCCACCTAGACACTGAACCACTTCTCATTGGTCAGGACCTGCTTGAACGTCTAGCTCCCCTCATCGACTGCCAGAAGGGTCAACTGTAGGCCCAGGTGGACACACCTAAGCCCTGGAACCCAGATAGCAGCCGACCATCCTCCATTCTTGAAGTCAGCCTAAGTGAGCCGCAAAACCCTTGTTCCAAGGTCATGCCCCTCCCTACGGCTCCCACAGACGATGTCCGCCTGCAAAGGCACGAAACCGCTCCTGGAACTCCTCTCCGCACACATTCATCTTTTCTCTGCTCGCTGAAGAACGTCAGCCTGCAGCCATATGCACCACACATAGTTGGTGGTCTTACCATCAACTGCACCCACATCTCAGATGCTCGCCTTGCTCTTTGGTCGGAAAAGTCAGCCATCAGCCAACAGACGTTTGAACACCCGCGTCAGAAGGACCCCCTTCTGGTCAGTGTGACACGTAGTCATCGACTCTTGTCAGCTACTTGGCCGCAGAGGCTCCTGAAAGCGCCAGAGGTCTGCTCCCTGACTATCCAGCTTGGAGCAAGACAGCTCACACATACATTCAGCATCATACCACAGCTTGATCCACCTGCACTCATTGGAGCAGATCTGCTGGTTCGACTCGGTGCCCAGCTGGACACTTGCAATCAAGTCCTTTGGGCCCGAGCCACACCATCCTCTGAGCCTTGCTCAGAAGGCCCTGAACACTTGCTGTCCGGTCAGACCATTCCACAGGCCTGCCGTGCAGTGGTTGAGGCCAGCACGGTTCTGCCCCCACTGGTCAAAGGAGTCCCTGTTCGTCTGACTCTGATGAAGCATCAGAAGCTGCCAGGCACACAGGCCTTCTTCCAGCCATCACCACACTTCTTGGAGCTCAACTTAGCCGTCTGTGGCACGCCACTCTTGGAGCTGAACAATCGTTCTGCGTACTTGTTGGTCGAAAATCCGACCCAGAGTCCTATCCACATGCCGGCAGGAAAGCCCTTGGGCATGCTGATAGATAGCTCATTCCATGACTTCGAACTTTCAGTCCCCGTGATCGGACAACTTCCGTTGTTCTTGAACGACAGACAGGTTGGTGCAGACACATTCAGTACTTTCCCCTCACAAATGATTACCATCAAGCGGCATGAAGCCCTTCCTGAGGAACCCATTTGCAGTGCAACCTTAGATACTGACGGCGGTCAGTGTCTAACGGTTTTAGCAACAAATACTCAACCCTCTGAGTCACCGGTTGAAAGCCCGGAAGACCAGAGACCCTCCTCCTCTGAACCTTATGACGGCTTCAAGGCCGAAGTCAGCCAGCAGCTTGACAAAGCGGATGCGCTGGAGTCAGAGAAGCAGAGAGCAGAGCTTAGAAGCCTGTTCTATGAGTTTCAGTCCGTCTTATCCAGGGACTCCCTGGACTGTGGACTCACAAACCTGCACACGGTTCGCATTCCGATGAACCCGAATGCCCCTCCTACTTTTGTACGTCAGTACAAGATTCCCCTCGCTGCTTATGAGTCGATCCAGGAGATCCTCGATCAGCTGAAGGAGAAAAACATAATCAGAGAGTGTAACTGCACTTACAACTCTCCCATCTGGCCGGTTCTGAAACCGACTGGGAAATGGCGTCTCACCATAGACTATCGTGCACTGAACAAACAAGTGCCTCTCTCCAGGTGGCCTATGATCCATTAAGATCAGGAGCTAGCCAGAGTCAGAGATGCTTGTTTCTTCTCTACGGTTGACGTAGCCAACGGCTTCTGGACCATGAAGGTTGAGCCGGCGGACCAGTATAAACTGGCTTTCTCCTTTGGAAATCGCCAATATACTTGGAACCGCTGCCCCTTTGGCTACTCTAACTCACCTGCCGAGTTCAACATCTTCCTCCACAAAGCCATGTCAGATGCTGCTTCCAGAGGGAACCTCATATATGTCGATGACATCTTGATGAGGAGTCGAACCTTCAAGGAGCACCTGGCCAAACTCCGTCACGTGCTGCAAAAGCTTGCTGACGCCAGAGCTAAATTGGCGATTCTCAAGGGACAGTGGTGTCGAACCAAAGTGGAGTATGTTGGACTGCTGGTGGGCCCTAATGGAGTCGAGCCCCAAGCGGGACGCATTAGGGCCATTCAGGACATCAAAGCCCCAGCTAATCTGACCGAACTCAGGAGCTTCCTCGGAGTCTGCAACTACTCCAGACAGTTCATTGAGGAGTACGCTGAAACAGCTAGGCCCCTTACTGAGCAGCTTCGGAACGACACACCTTTCGTGTGGGACAGACCCCAAGAACTCTCCTTCCAGTTCCTAAAACAGAAGTTGGCGTCCGCACCCTGTCTGGCTTACCCAGACAAGGATAAAGAGTTCTACATAGAGGCTACTTTCTCCTCTCACTGCCTGAGCGCTGCTTTGAAGCAGAAACACGATCAGGACATGAGAGTTGTGGCATACGCCAGCAAGCCTCTGAGCAAGGTGGAACTCCAGTTCTCAGACTGCGAGAGAGCTCTCCTCTCTACAGTCTGGGCCGTCGAACACTTTTGTAGATACATCGGTGGACAGAAAGTGATCATTGAAACGTGTCATCAGCCTGTCACCTTCCTAAACAGCCAGCGTCTGCGCGAAGGAAGAGTGTCAAACAGCCGCATTGCGACGTGGATGATGGTGCTCCAAGGATACAACATTGAGGTCAAGTATGGTCAGAACACCAAGCTAGCGCTAGGACAAGGGCTAGCAGGCTGCCAGCACTGTGACTCTGACTCCGTCATGGGCCCCCTGGACACACCTGCCGCAGTCTACCCAACCGCATCCAATCATCGCTACTTTGATGAGAATGTTTGCCAAGGGCTTCCAAAAGTTTACACTGACG